CTGGATCCCGTGGGAGCGACCATGTCAAAGTAGAGATGTGTGTAGATGGAAGCGTCGAAGCAAAAGCGGGAGATCTCCGTGTAGTACGCATTGACACCGCTATCGGTAGTTGCAGTGAGCTGCAAAGTGCCGTCTATGTTGTTCGACGAGAGCCCTGTTGCAGATGTCTGCAACAAGAGCAGGTTGACGTTGTTGCTGCCAAAGTAAAGCTCCAGAAAATCGTCGATCATGACGTCCCATGCTATGCATTCCGTGTCTCCTAGCGGTTTGGGAGTAAAATCAGGACACGTGGAGGTGGTTGCATTGTTTGTACCGACGGCGAAGTAGAGTGTAAATTGACCCTTTGACGTGTTTCGCAGTACCACTGCGTTCGTCGTTCCATCGTAGGAAACCTGCTGGCAGACTGAAAGAGAGCCCGTCGCGGATTGGAAGACGTAATTCCGAGGCACTTGTAGGGTGAGGCCTTCTGTAACGCCATCCAAACGAACCGTCATGATAGCAGATGACTTGTCTGCTGCTGTGATGTCCACAATTGCACGGTCTCGATTAGTCCACCAATTGGCAATTCCTGTCTGGTTGAAGAAGACCGCGAAAGGACGCACGGTGTCGTGAAGAGCGCGCTGGATTTGGATCTTGTCGAACAACGCATCTGACGGATGAATCAAGATGTTGTAGTGGCCGCCATAACGTGCCATTTTCTTGATGTACTTGATCTGGTTCGAGAAGTCCGACCCTGGAAAGTCGGCGCTGCTCATGTTTCCATCACCGTCAGACCATTGAAGCGGGAACTCGTAGTATGGAAGCTCCTGGAACGACTCGCGGTTGTGAGTGACTTGGAAAGGAAGATGGGTGAGATGCGAATTGCCCGCGCACGAAGAGCCACCAATAATTCCGTTTGCCACACAATGCGTGGCTTGGTACTTGCTCCAAGCAAGATTACCTGGACGATAGGTGGTCATGTTGTAGTTGGTCTTGAACTCATCGTGAAGTATGTGTCGAATCAAGTAAGCGCTCACGCGGACCTCTCCCGATGAGGAAGCACCTGATGTGTAGAAAGAGAGTCCACTGGTACCTCCCTTGGTGCATACCTCTCCGTTAGTGGGCGTACCGTCAGCGTTGGGTCCGCATTGGTGTATGACTGGATAGTAGCCTGAGTCGGTTCCTTGGAGGAATCGCTCATTGAGAGTACCATAGCCGAAACCAGCTGCGTTCGGCGAGTGACTGACGGTGTGACTACCAAAGTCGATATATGGGTTGCCATCAGGAGCAGTGCGGAACCCGCTAATCTGATAGATGTACGGAACGCCATACTGGAAGTATGCAGTCTCGTATGCATCGGTGACGTACTTGGTGTGAAGGTTCAGATTACCCGCGGCGCCTCGGTCTTGTGCGGCGGCTGCGATACCCTGGCCGTGGGGGTACGAGACATAGGTATCGATATCCCAGGTTGTGGTGAAAGCAAGGCCTTTGTTGTACGGAACCGACCATAGGCTGACGAAATGGGGGCTAGTAGTAACAATGTTCTTGATGATGCGTGTGCCGATATCGTACCCGGGGTAATAATGTCCGTCGTACCATGGCGAGTAGCCGCCAGCTTCATTTTGAGCTTGGATAAACAGATATCCCAGGTCCATACCAAAACTGTAGACATATCCGGTCGCGCCCAAAGGCTGATGTTTGACGATGGCAGCGCTTGTAGCCGATGTATCTACGCTGTCCACACCATCATTTCGAACCAAATATTTACCAAGTGTTTGTGAGCCTCTGGCAGCCGTATAGCCGACATTGATTAGGCCACTCTCGGTGTAGTTCTCATAAAATGGCATGTTTACGTCGTAGTACTCTGAGAAGTCGAAACCTTGGAGAGCCTGTACGGGCGTCTCGGTGTTTGTCAGCTGGATGACGGACCGCGATCCACTCGAGTCTACTTTAGATGCAGTAACACCTGCAAGGGTTTGAAGAGCCGTAGGAACCTGGTTCATGAAGATCAATCTACCACCTTTGGTCACAAAGGAGGTCAAGGTTATGACGTCGGCAGCGCTCGGGCTGTAGCTCACGCCTGGGGACGTGTAGATGAGTAGATCTCTGCATTGCGAAGAAAGATTCAGTGTTTGAATGACCTTCACTTGTAAACCGACTGTCTTGAGAGATAGTGTAAGTGGAAGCCTGGGACAAGGTCGTTAGTTGATTTGGTTTCAGCTTCCATAAGACCACCTACCAATTAGGATCTGCCTTGTAGTTTGGTATGAAGATGTTCAATCCGGAGTTCGGTCCAGCTGCATGCCTATTGTAACCTTGTTAATAACGACAACCACGATATAGATTTGGTCCTCATACCTCGATTGAGATGGCACCGTAGCCGGTTGACTGTTTGCGCCCAGATCCGGACTAGCACCTGCTGGCTGCGTAACGGAGTATATGTCAGGCGATGTGAAGGCCTGACATATTTGCAGCAAAGCAAACAAAGGGAGAAGAATCAGTGACCGCATACTTAATGCTGGCCTTCAAGAAAAGAGGGACGGTTCGCAGAAGAATGTATAGAAGAGTTGAAGGTGCAGAACCCGACCTTTTGGTCAAGCTACGCTTGAAAAAACTCAACCAGAAATACGGGTGAACTCGCCAGATCGTCCGGGAGCGAACGCAAGATCGCCGGCTAGACTACACTAACGCGCAAAGTTGATGGGGCAGAATTTGGAAACAGTTCGTAACTTATCCATTTGGGGAAATCTAGTAAGCCCTAGACCACAAATACGGTACTATACTCAGTGGTACCTGAGCTACCTGCATGTACTTAGGCTTCGAAGTTTACTTAGGCGTTTCAGCTGTGGCAGCGGGAGCTACGATGATGCGTTCACACGTCATATCGAGGGTGCAGATGTCGACATCTTTGGTCTCGATTTAGACTCATCAGCTGTAGGGACGTAAGGAATTTGGTAGAGAAGTATCGAGTGCGTGAGTAGCGCTTCTAGCCCCCTAGGCATTCGTACGTCATTCTCCCTGAGCTGCGCGTCCGAAGTTCAACCGCAGTGTAGCTGATCATCTTCACAAGGTTCAGGCGGTTCATATGCTGACGCAAGGCTGCCGACGAATGCGTCGTTGAGATCGAGTTGGAAAATTGTCGTGAGATTGTTTAATCAATTGAGCGCAGGGAGGTTGCATTGGCAAAATTCGGATGGGGTCGGGCCGACGTCAGCCCCATGGTCTCCGTGGTTGCCACGCGATGGCGGAACAGCCGGCAGTCCAGCCACAGCAAAGAATTAGGATTCTGTCCAAAAAGCAATTTGAACCCTCTTCTCGCGGTCTTCGCGCTCCAGACTGATGGATGTCTTCGTATCGCGTTATTCTGCCATTTCACGCATTCCAGCCCTGTTGAATGTTCGTCGCTGAAAGTTTATCTGAAGATTCCAAATGGTTTCGTCCCCTCTCGTGGCCGCGGCTCTCCCGCACCCTTCCTGCATAGATGGCAGTCAAAGAACGCAAATAGGTTAAAGACTAGAAAAGCAGAGCCTTTCATGTTCTTCTACTCGAATATTCAACACTGGTAGATGTGTAAACATGACGGTCGAACTATTCAAAAGAAAAAGCCGGAGTTTCCGACTTCTCTGAATACCGCATTATTACCTACTTGCTGAGCGCGTAATGATAAATATGCTATCCGTAAACAACGCTACAACCTCAGATTCGCTATGTCCTAGTCTGGTAGATTTTCCAGTATTCGACTTGGGCTATCGATATTTTGAGAACCATAGGATGAGTCTTTTGAGACAATTGGCCGATTGGATGACAGAGCTGGGAGAGTGTTGCGGACATGCGCGGCGAATTATCCCTTCTGGATGGAGCGTGAGAACAACTTCGCTGCAGATGTTAATGTTGCCAACTGCTATAGCAAGTCTTGTATTTGTCCCTTGGGCGGTATGATGTAATTTCCGGAGGTCGTCGAGGGCAAATAGCGGTCGACGATGATTAGTATTCTCTGTAGTATACTGGTGCAGAACCGGAGCGTTCGCCAACATGGCGATAGCAGCAAAGCTGAACGCGAATGTGATCAATACTGGATTGCAACAAAGTATACTTAGCATATCTAGTAAATGGTTGATGAGCGCTAATGGTCAAGTGGTGTGCGCCGCTGAGCCATCAAGGTATTGATGAACGATGAGGGTGTCTCCCACTCCGAAAGATCACATATCCAGGCGTCTTAATGGAAATCCTTCAGAATTCCAAACAAAAATGCCAATAGTAGAATGCAGTTTTGTTGTGGCCATGGTGTGTACTACAAGGTAAGCGACATGGAGTTGGTAGGGCTGAAGTGGCCGCACCAGAACATAGGGCGACCGTCAGGACCTGAGGTCCTTCTGCGTACTTGGATTGCGACCTCCGGTCGGAACCAATCAGATCAATCAACTCTCCACATTTAGACCCTCAAGCGCAGTGTCCATTCTGGAAATAGGCGCTTTGATTGGACGGTCTGGTGGCCGCAACACATCAATGGGGCAAAAGCGACAGAAGGACCTCAAACACATCGGGCGGCCGCAACATTCGTAGGGCGGCGTCAGTGGGGAGGTCCTTCATTTCTGCTGTTCACCTGGTTCCTTCACTCATGCGCAACTGCGCAACTGCGTAACAACGTATTTCACGTCAAAACATCACTTCATAGCACCGCGCGCTTCTTAGATGCAGTCGACTTCACGAGCATCTATCAGATTACCTTCATTCAAGCAATGAAGGGAACCAACAAGAGGCGGCACGGTGCCACGTTACGATGCGATACGTTGGTTGACTAAACAGCACAGAATCCGATTACCAACGAAGACTCGAAGAAACATTCTTCAAATTCCGTTTTACGATCTCACTGTCACCGTCCGATATGAATCCAACTCTTCCTCGAACGCCATAGTACCATCGCTTCCCCAAACGCCAACTGTCCGACTCGCATGCTCGGCAAAACCGCTCGCGAGCAGGTCCAACATCGATATATACAAACAAGAGAACGGATGCTGCGATTAAGCATGTTCACGGCTGACAGTCATGGCTGGCGGTGTCGGAGCATCTGCCGAATCGCCCAATTGTCTAGCGATGTGGGGAATCCGTCTCCCCACATTGTCCATGTCACCTTCGTCCCGTTCAGGACGCCCTTGTTGCGGTTCGATACCAGCGCCTGACGCTTGATAAGGCGGTGGCGGGTCGTTGAAAGCACCTAGCTCGTAGTAATCCTCGACCGGACCTGGAGCATCGGACGGAAGGGCCGCACCGGGTGCAGCGCCAGCTAGCACGAAGTCAGCTCTAGTGACGGCATGGCATGCGACGTACAACATGAAGCAAGGCATGAATCGTCAGCCACATACAAGCTTGTCTAGCAGCACGCTCCTGCCATTTCACGACACACAGGTAAACGCCGGTGATACAGGCCCCAATTCCCGCCAATAATCCTACTGCTCCAACAGTATATTTCCACCACAGTACCTCGTCTTCGATCGGCTGCACGTAGGCGCCTGGAGGTAGGACGGTGCCGTTGCCTTGGTGGGGGCGGGTGCCTAGTGGTGACTGTCAGCTGTGCGTGAGGCCTCGACGTCATCACCGAAGCGCATCTGCTGCATCTGACAGAGTCTGGTTCAATTCACTTACCGTTAAAGGCAACCAAAAATCGGGTGAGGACTGGCATGTTGACGTCTACACATGTTTTAGAGGTTGTCGTCATCGTTGGGCCTCGACAAGAGAAACCCCGCACGCGCCCACATACCTTGACTTGAAGAAGATTCGACTCTATTGCGAGGTTGTTGGCGGTCTTGGATCAGACGAAGTATGCGATATTGATCAACGCACCTCACACTGTGTCCGTACGGTAGCAACGCTGGGGAGAAAGGAGTTGGCTTTCCACCAAGGATGGCGGCGGTGAAGCGCTCAGCCCTAGGCGGGCCACGCTCATTCGTCGCACCCCCTCACCACGCCAACCTACTTCGCCAACACAACGCACACACGAGAAAACTTGCACAGCGTAATCTTCCTCGTGAGATCGAGCCGATACACAGGTCTGTATTGTATTGCGAAATATGGGACGAACGTGGGCATAACCCACGGTTTACCGCAAGGTTCCGCCCATACCCCAACACCTTGAAGCCGTGAGCTGCAAACCCACAATAAACAAGGCAACGGTCCAGAAGCCACCTTAAATGCGGCGAATGCCGCGCAGCAGCCAACATGGCGTTGTATGCAGCAGCACCCCTCCAAAGTACACGTGCTGGTGCTCAAGGACGGCTATTGTTGAGCGCTAAGCAGCCTCGAGATGTGCACTGTGTTAGTATATCCGTTCCCATATGTAAAAGCGCATCATTTTGTGACGACAGCGATGTTTGTTCGTCGCTTGGTAAGTGCATATTTGGAGACTGTGAGAACCATAAGGCTTATCAAGACGCTCATGCTCTAGCCCAACTTGCTAGACTACTATGAATAAACATCAGTCAGCCGTATAGAAATTCAACTGCTTGTCTCATAATGCAATGATTAGAATTCCGTGAAAACGCCCGCTTGATTCGCAACGGCTGACGCTCGTCCGTTCAATTACCTGACTTGTGATCAACGCCAAGCCGCCACTTACCTGTCGCAAGCAGCACCCTCATTCCCAGGCCGAATCTACTCTACGTGATGTAACTCCACTACCACTCATACAATAGCCCTATGGCGACGCAGCGCATGCGCAGGCGCGATACAGTACATATCGCTCCGTCCCTATGGGTAACCCGCAACGTCGCGATCCCGAGTGCTCGTCGCTGACAAACTGAAAGTGCGACACGAATACCTGCGATGAGCCACGACCGACGCCTCTATCCTGCTACTGATCAACCCTTGCCTTCAGCAGACGATACCGGCTATCCAACACAGACCACACACGAACATGAAAGCCCCACAGGGCGATTATGGCACAGCTACGCTGCCTACGATGAAAGACAACCTGGCTTTACGGATGAACCTCGGTCTCCACTAAGTACTACATCGGTCTATGCTTCGGGACAGGAGCTTTGGAGTCTCCAGAGGGAACTCAGTTCTTTGCCATCATTTCTCGACCTAGAGACTCCTAGTTCCGCCCCACAATATACGAACGATGTAGCTATCGATCAGCAAGACCTATATCCTCCGCATCTGGAAAGTGCGGAGGATTGGTCAGAGAATATATCAGATCCTGCATCGCAAGCGTTGCAACAACATGATCATCATTGGGAAGAGATGTCCAATCTAACAGTGAGACCACTCGATCCCGCGCAATTGGACTTCGGGTTGTTCGACAATGCATATCAGCGTACCCTCCGGGAGGGCTCGAATCGACATTCTGCTCAGACTCAGAATCAAGAGCCCCCGTGGCCGTATTACGTTAACCAACAACCCCCGGAGTCGATGCATGGGTCTGGGGTATTCGTGACGCCCAATTCTGCTCAGCAACTTGGCGACAACGAAGACTTTCGGTCGTTTGGTCAAATCAAGCCTATGGATATAGCCGCTCCCGATACTTCTAGCCCTGCAGGATTCCACACTCTATGGTGTCCATCGTGTCCTGCAACGTTTGAAGGACTTTATAGAAAAGGAAACCTCGCTCGACATCGGCGGCTCAAACATAAAGGTCCTGTGGTGTATGAGTGTGAGGACGACCACTGCGACAGAGTTTTCCATCGTCAAGACGCCCGCCTGAAGCATTACCGCACGTGGCATCATCACTTAGCGTCTGGTCCTGCTTTTCGCCGCAGAAGTCATCAAAATCAGAGCGACTACAATATAGGCAGTGATACCCACGAAGCCGGAGATGCAAGGCTTGAAACCCTATCCTCCATGTCCCAGCCGCAATATGCAGACTCAACAGTCTATATGGATACAACACCATCCACACCTACGATAGTCACAAGTGGACCAAGCACTGAAGCACTTCGTAAAGATGGCGAAAACGTTCGATGTGACATCTGCCAGAAAGGGTTCAACAGAGCTGCCGAACTGCGCAGGCACAAAGATTCCGTTCACAACTTGAACCCACCACAATACTTCTGCGCGGTGCCTGGGTGCGATCGCGCATCAAGGCCTTTCCCCCGCAAAGACAAATTGGCAGATCACACAGCAAGAATACATGGTCAGTCAACCACGTCAAAGGCTTTCGAACACGGTGAAGAGGTCTCAGAGGCCACATATCGCTGTGACTATGAGGGTTGCGAACGAGAATTCGATCAGAGAGCAGATTTGCTACGCCACCAAAGAACCCATACAGATGAGTCTGAGCGACCACACAAATGTACGCAGTGCGAGAAGTCGTTTTTATACCCGAAGGATCTCAAGCGTCACCAAGCGACCCATTTGGACAACGAGGATGATGGCAAGCCGACGTTCCATTGTGAAGTCGCTTCATGTGAGTACGGCCCTGGAAAACAAGGCTTCTCGAGAAAGGATGGAATGCTCCGCCATATGAGACGTTTCCATCCGGAACTTAAGCGCGAAGCTCCTGAAGATTTTGGAAACGAACCTGGTGGTCCCTTCCAGGATGCCAAACGCGCCCGCGCCATATCCACAGACCAAGAGCCAGAGCCTACGATTGTCACGCAGCCTATAAAGGCCGCGCTACGTACAAATCGCCGTACAGGCTGCCCAGGTCAGGATTGGAAATGCAAACCTAAGGAGCTGAAGGGAAGACGATATTGGACTTCTTTCAACCAATTCTGCCGACACTTTCTGATGTATCATTCAGGAGACTATTTGGACGAAGGCTACCGTTCGCAGTGCAATTTATGCGACCACGACTCCTTTGGAGCGAGTGGACATGACCTGGCACGACATTTATGGGATACCCATTTACAATAAGAAGTGTTTCTTGGACGCGCTCTGATTACTTCGGTCTTATGTTTAAGGTCTTCATTATATACCTTATCGCCATTGATCTGGGATCACTGTGTGCTCTTAGTCTAATAGTACAAGGTGGAGAGCTTGGGTGGCATGCGCGATATACTAATAACAATACTTATCCAATCTTCGCTCTCTTAAATGCTACCCTTACAGCTCTGTCGTATTTTCGTACTTGGCGCAGGTGCGAGATCTTCGAGGTCCAGCACCCAACTTTTCTATCTTCATCTGCGAAACCAAATTGGATTGATTTTAGAGTACATGACATCGATGGTATCTCTGATGGCAATAGTGGAGTGTTGCTTGAACTGGCGCCCACCGGATACAGCTAGTCCACCTCAGGCCACCCCATCGTTGCCTAGCTGCTGCCTGAAAGGTTCACCATGTTGGCTTGGCGCGCAGCGAGTATATGTATACGATTCGCATTCATTCGAGATTCCGAGAACGTCAGGAAACAAATCCAATCATGACTAGCACAGCGGCACCACAGCTTCGGCGTTCGAAGCGCAAACAGGCCGAGCAAGCCGCCAAACCAGTGGCTGACACCGCCAACGACGATGCGCCACCACCTAGGAAACGTGCACGTAAAGCTGTCGCATCTACGACGGAACCTCCTACCATCAAGAGTGTTGATAGGAAAGTCGATGAACGCGATACGGATATCGTACCCATAGAGTCACGGCAACATAACTATACTTTACCCCCATTCCTCGCTCTCCCACGAGAACTACGAGACGAAATCTACAAACACATCCTAAACTCCGACCGCTCCTCAAAACTAAAATCCGGCTCCCGTAACATCGTCACCCGCTGCGGCCTCGTCGGAGTAAACAACCAAATCTCCGCCGAATTCCTCGACGCAGTCCTCTTCCACGCCCCCGTCATCACAACAGTCGTCCGCAACCACAACTTCGCACCCGTCGTCACCTTCCTAAACCGTCTATCTCAAGCCCAGCTAAAGCGGCTGAGCAACTACCCAGAATCACAGGCTACAGGAGTAGACGACGACGACGACGACGATGTGAGAGCAAAGCGCAAGATCAGGATTATCCTGAGTTACTCGGCGGGTGCAAAGGATAGTCGTGCGCATCTGAATCGCTGGCTAGACCGCTTTGATAACCCGGATAAGAGGGGTAAGGAGATTGAGTTCGAGTATGGTAATGACGGGACGTATGGGAATGGGGGGTACAAGCAGCGACCTAGGTCACGGGAGAAAGCAAGTAAGAGGTGGAATGAGGAGGCGAGAAAGATTCTGATGAACGCTGGTAGGAGGGGATGGTGGTGAGACGGGGAGTCATGGTGTATGGATGCACTCGTGGTACGCCAAGTCGACATTTAGAAGTGTCTTTGATGGTCGAGATGTAGCTGGGTGTTGAGATGGATTGGCCGAGGTGGCTTGGAACATGTCTGAGCGGTTTGCCAGAGACGGGTCTGGGACTTTGAACTAGGACAAGGAAGATGTTTGAAATCGAATACTTGCACTCAAGGCGAGAAGTGCCAGGAGACATGGTCGGCAGCCGTCTCGTAGGGGGGACGCATATTGCCGAGGACATGTATTGCACGTGATCATCTAGAGAGCATCCAGACTCCGTGCATCTAGATCCATAGCATGGCAAGAACCTCGTGTATGCGCCGCTTTAGCCGAAAGTCGCTTCAACTAAAGCAGTCCGTCATCTGCATATAGCGACGGAGGCCCAAGCACCGATGCTTTTCGCCCTAGATTGTGTCGAGGTTTCTAGTGATGAACAATACACGGCTGATGCGCCGCCCGCACTGTCAAGAGTCGCAATGCCTTGTAGGCGACGCTGCTAGCTTGAAACTTTGTTCGGTGAACGTGCCAAGCGTGCAGTAGTCCATAGCCAAAGCGACTGCATGCTCGTATATGTACTCAACACTAGTGCCGGATTCAGGGACATGTTCGCAAAGCCTAGAACAGGGGAGTTACTATTCGGTATGTGCCGGATCAGCTTCTCCCAAGACACAAGAGTAAGGCGCAGGAATTGTGCCTGTCGATGATATACGCGCCCGCACCTAGGCGTCGCAGGATGACGTGCGTAAAAGGCATCTCGCGACACGCCAAAACTGGTCGTCGGGTCGATTGTGCCACGACGTCAGGGCGGGCGTACGCCGCAGAACAACATAAAGGGGTGCGCGCGTGCGTTCCTTTTTTGCTGTCGGCAGCTGTCCTAGGCGACGCAGCACGTGGACGGATGTACACTCGATCTAGGCTTTGGTCCGCTGCATGCCCTGCCCTGCACATACTATGATTCTTATCGACGGGTATTTTCCTTGCATCCAATGACCATTCCGCATCGGCAGTAAGAAAATATATTGCGACGCCGTATGTGTGTGTGCAAAGACTGTCAAAGTCTCCGTTCCTGCGCGCGCGCGCGCACGCGCTGGTCTTTCAATATGCACCCCAGTCTCGTGTGACCATTTACCCGGGATGCAAGAAAGTGTTTGCATCGCGGCTCATGAAATATGTGAGGTAAACTCCGATGTTCCGGAACGTTTTGAAATTATCCTAGCTGGGGCCCAGCACTGAAGCGAGAGGTCAGCCAGTAAACGCCAGCGTGATAATAGATTAATCTTCCGCGAAAACATGTTTCTGCCACGAGGGCGGGGAACCGGTGCGCGCGTCGTACACAATATGCGAAAATTGATGAGGGAGGGGAGCAAGGGCAAGAAAGTTTGGAGGCCGAGCTAGGACTACCGCAAGGGTGCCAAATTAGTAGCATTGATGGGCAAAAAGTATTGCTGCTTAAGAACTGGCGGGATCGTCCTGTCTAATGCATTTGCTTCTTCTTTGTGCTGTTGTTGCGTCGATCAAAAACTCCTTTGAATCCTTTATCACATTTGGAATCATCTTGCTCCGTTGCCAACAGTTACAGAGACTCGGTACCTTCGACACTATGAAGCTTTCGGCTATTATCGCGGTCGTCGCCGCCTCGGTTGCGCTTGCATCGCCCGCAGCAGTGAGAAGTCTGGCTTTACCTGGAGGTTCCCCCAGCTAATCGATGGCGCAGGTCAGTCTTGAACGATCCGTCAAGGAAGTCAGAAATGCGGACGGCACTGTTGCCTCAGTCACCTGCGTTGAGTGCCCTTGTGATGGCTTCGCTGGGACATGCAAATGCGTATGTATCCCTTTCCATTGGCAGACCATTAAGCTGATTGATTCAGATTCCCAACGGATGCTGCTGCATTACTTGAGCAAAACACGGCTTGACGAGACGATTTTTCTTTTGGCATATCTGGCGTTCTTGACTACAATACACTATGTCTACATATTTTTGCAATCCAAAAAAGCGAAAAGATGGGGTGAGCGGAGAGGCGCCCGCGAAAGAATCGGATGCTCGCGCATAGTATAGACGTTTAGGGCGTAATACGTATTGGCGTAGTTCCGTCTTCTTTCCAATTCTACTTCGCTGCGCCTGCTTCGACGTTCTTTTCCGCCTCTTCTTTTTCTTCTTCTGGTCGGATCCACTTGCGGAAACCAATGGTCATGATGCCACCAATAGCAACCTGAAAAGCCTGGAAGATGATCGCAGGTATCTGCATCTTCGACTGATCGACCGGATCGATGTTGATGTACATGACCGACGTGAGGGGGACAACCATAGCAAGAGCCTTTGCCGGGCAACAATAACAGCATGCAATAACATCCTTCTTCGGCAACCACAAAGTAGCGGCTGTGAAGCATATGGCGAGCCATATAAAGTACAGCGCGATTGTGATGAAGACGATGAAGATGATGTTGGACGGCTTCACAGCCTCAAACGCACCAGAAGAAAACGCTTGATCGAAAGTCTGCCACACCATCGTGAGAAGCGCGATTGACGAAAGCTTGAGCAGTTTCCACTCGAAGAACACTTTCTTCGTCATCTTGGGGAACAGGCGTTGTACAATCTGTCCGACTAACATTGGAAGAAATAGCGACAGGCCGAGTTGCATGAAGACACGCTGGTAAATGCCGGCGTAACCAGAGCCGCGCTGGAGAACCTTGCTATACCACGATCCCGTAGAAAGATACATTTGCAGGATGATGGGCGTCAAAAAGGGACAGAGGAATTGGCCAATGACGGATTGAACTACCGTGAGTGCCGCGTTTCCATGAGCTTGTCTCGTCATGACAACGTTGCTGGACATTGTTGTAGGTGCGCTGCCGACGAAAAGGAAGCCGATCAGTAGCCATGGGTCCATGAAGTTGGGATTCGTCGCACATAGGCTGACAACGGCAAAGGTGGCTGCTGAACAGACGAGGTAGCATTGTAGTTGGACGAAGATGTGTAGCTTCCAGCGCATGTAGTTGGCGAGCATGACCCGTGTGTCCAGTGTGCAGCCGTTGATGAAGAAGATGACGGAGACTGCGAGGTATGTGACTACCGTCCGCTTTGTGCGCTGCTGTGAGGCTGGGACTTGGACTTGGGACGAAATGAGGACTACGGCGCCCATTGCGAGGAGGAACCATTGGTCTTTGACGAACCATTTCAAAATCTCCAAGGCTTTTGCATGCTTGGATGTCTTCTTCTTAATGGTCGGCTGATCACCTTCGGCGTCTGTTTGAACGTTTTCGAGAGGCTCAATAGGGTTTCGAGGTTCCAGTGTTGGCGGTCCGGTGTTGATGGAATCCATATTCGATGCTTCTGCGATGCGCTCTTCTGGTGTTGTCCCTCCGCTGCTTTCCATCGACGACCGGTTCGAAGGTGTCGCCGCTGTTCGTAGTTCGATGTCATTGTGCTTCCCCATCATGGAAGCTATCTGTGCCTGCTCGGACGTCTTACTCCCGATACTCACAGCATGCTCTGCAATGCGTCTTGGCCTTGAGATATGTGACTCTTCGGTAATATGACGGACGTAATCATGTAGCCGATTTGGCGTAGCCCGACGCGGGGACTTTACCCCAATGGTGCGGGGACGGGTAAACCCGGATCTCTACCAATGTTCTGACGAAACGACTGTCGTGCATCGTGAAGAGACAGTCTTGAGAAAACAATCTACGGGGTATCTAACAAAGTTGACATGGAGGGAGGTAGGTTGTACATGACGAGGCGGTCCGGTTAGTCAGCGCCAGGGCCGACATGCCCCCGCCCTTTGTTACGCTGCACGACGCAGACTCCACACATTGTCGTTCGCTTTTCCAGCATCACACATCACGTATAACCAGGCTTATAGCCGCACTTCGCTCGCTTCCGGTCTCTCCCAATGACGGCCCCTGCTTCTCCCGATGCCGACTCCAGCAGGAAGCTGATATGGGCACGCGTATACCAAGACCTCATCCAACACGCCATTCCCGACGCGCGCTTCAACTATGACTTCATGTCCTTCACCCCCGACTTCCGAGGCTCGGCCTCCGCAATCGACCGCCTAGTCTCCCTGCCATGTTATCAGTCGGCTAGCGTCATCCTCGTTACGCCCGACAACAGCCTCGAACAACTGCGATACAGAGCCCTGAAAGACGGGAAGAGGGTCTTGGTAGCGACATATAGGCTACGCAGAGGTTTCGTACTACTGCATCCCGGAAGGATCAGCGAGTCCAAGTACGAGATGGCTGCATGTCTAGACGGCATGGAGAAACCGGGGATAGGGAGAGCGGTGTCGCTTTCGCAGATGCGGGATGAATGCCTCAAGGTAGACATGTGCGCTATCGGGGGTCTCGTCTTCAACGCGCAGGGCGTGACGATATGGGAGGGTCACAATCTATTCGAGGTGCAGTGGGCTATGCTGCAGGATTTGAAGGTACTGCAGCCCAATACCCCCGTTGTTGCTGTCGCACACGCGTGCCAGGTGGTCGACGAGGCACAACTGGGTGTGGAGAAGGTAACACCAACGACGTCGGGAGAGGTACAAAGCGACTTTGTCGTTACGCCAGATGCACTGTACGAGGTGGCTGGCGCGGTGAAACCCACCGGTGCCCTGGACTTTGATACTGTAGATCCCGAGGGCATACAGAACATCCCCCCACTACAAGAGCTCAGAGGCATTCGCATGATGGAGCAAATCATGCAACGGGAGGGCTTTACTTCTGCAAAGGAAGAGAAGCCAGAGAAGCCACCTTCTGCAGACGAGCAGATGGGCATCAGCATTGTAGAGAAGCTGATGCAAGGTTACCGTGCGTGAGGACGTCACTCCCCATAGCCACCCACGTAGTTACAATATAGGTAAGTTTTGTTCGTGAAACACGACAAGATACTAAGTTACAAGGTATATCCACGACGAGCATGCGCCCTCTAGGAGAATTAAAGATTAGAAACCAGTTTATATACACATCAAACCCTCATGCAACAAAGCATCCTCCAGGACTCTTTGCGAAGCTGCTTGTTCTTGTAACACTCACTCAAATCATGCATATGTTCCCTACACCCCCGCTTTCCAACAACTCAACCCAGTAACCCTACCCATCTTCCCTCCATCTACAACAACCCTCCCCTTGCCCATCCGCACGACCACCTCCTCACTCCCCCATCCCAAACTTGCCTTACACAGCACACCCCTATCATCCTTCTCTACCTCTTCTCCTGCCAGGTCCTTTCCCGATTCTACTCCAGTGACCTCGATGGCCTGGACATGCTCCGGCCGTGTGCTTAGATCGAGGGATACATCGATGGGTATATGTATCGACCACGCGTTGCCCGATGTAGATGTGAACGTGGAAAGTTGTGGGCTTTGCGCCGAACCGATTGTGTAGTGTGATGGTGATCCGATGAGGGCGAGGGAGACGAGCGGGAGGGCTTCAATTGATTGGGACGTGGGTAATGGCGCAGAGGATGCGAGAGCGACAAGTGTGATGAATGTGAAGATGGTTTCCATGTTGTGCTGGGCTGACGCGCGAGATTCCGCGTCACGGTTTTGGATGTCTGTCGCTGGAAAGACGAGTTCGCGATGCGAGTCGTCTAGAACCTTGGACAAGTATCGGACCGATGAATGCACTCAAGAACCTTGGTATCGTAGCACGATGCGCTGCATCACGTCTCTGGTAACAGTCAACCTGCCTCCCTCGTAAAGTATATACACCCCACGTCCCCTAACCACGCCGCATTCCTGCCTCCCCACCCACGAAACGTACTACCAGTGGCACAGCAAAATGCGGCGGTTGCAGAATTCAAGACTCCAATCGAAACAATTTACGCCACACCCGCCTTGCCCAGGCGGCAGTCACTCGGCCACACTTTTCGCGGGAGCGCGGAGATTTTCTTTCAAACGTGTTGGTTGGGCGGCTGCGGGGGTTGGTTAGCCGCTAGGATTTTCTGGGGCGGGCGCTCGTGCTTGTGTGGATGGGTGTGCGGGCGTGGGATGCGTCGAAATCTGACTGCGCCGCATAGGCGCATCTGTGTGCATGCATAAAAGAGATAAGCAATGTGCAGGCGCGAAAAAGGAAGGAGATCGCTCGGAAGAAAGAGACACTATTGTGAGGATCTTTCCGGGACCTAAGGGGTGTGGTGTGAGGCTGTACTGTGGAGATAAGGGAAAAAGGAATATGGATGCTTATGAAAAGCACTGATATCTTTCAACAAACACTTCTTGGTGAACTGCTAAGAAAAGATCCGTGTAGCGAAATGTACTTTGCTCACGATAACAAAGTGCAAGGCTAGTCTACTGGATTCTGTGCAAGGCGACGTTGATGCTATGCTTCTTGCGTGCACTGCACTGTGTCAAAAGCATGTACCTAGGCGGTATGGCCTAAGAGATTGCCAGCTCAATCGAGACAAGCAAACTTGTCTTGTTCTGGCTTTGATGCTCGTCCCTATTTTGGTAGTCGTCTCAGCTGCATCGAAGAACGCATTCGGACTAGGAGGCTGCGGGTGGTCCTCCGACTCGCCGTGTTGCTGGACGGTACAGAGGTACATCGCACAACATGAAAACTTTGTTACTGCATATCGCCTACTTACTGCAAGCGTTGATCGTTTGAAACATGATCAATATTCTCGCACGAGTGAGATTCTTCTGAACCAGGAGCGTCTGCCGTGTCAGATGCCGATGTAAGGACCTCGGAAGTCAGCGCAAACTGAAGAATATAACCGTAGGGCGTTCCTGGAAGTGGACACCTGCTTACATTTTGCTCAAGCCTGGGTGCGGTGTTGCGGATGTCATCCTGAAAGACTGAAGATCAGCGGTAACCCAGTACATCGTAGGAACATTGCAACCGATCGCATGGGTTGTGCGACAGATGCGTCAACCACGGCTTGAAAGGGGTGCAGCGAGTGCGAGTCCGAAAAGCTCTTTGTTGCGCAATTCTGAACAGAGGTCGGCCTGTTCTCCGACTTTGGATACGGTTTCGCCATCATGACAGCAGAACTCTACTCCAGGAGTTCTTTCCGTTCCGTAGTTGGGCTTTCGCTCGGGGGCCTGGTAACGTTCCCCGACATTTTGACAGAAAGGTACCAGGCGGGAAGGACGTTGAGCTGAGGCCAATTAACGTTGCGAGAGCCGGACAGGCGTCCAACCGGGCAATAATAGGTGCGGAGTTGTTTCCAGGAACTCGGAAGTGCTGCGCAACCCTGATGCCCGCGACGGTCATGTCGCAATCGTCCCTTGGAATTCGCGGCTCCACCTCTTGTAGTATGACCCATTCAGGTCTTGCAAGCAAAACTCAACGACGTGGTAAACTGCGATACCCTTGCTGAGATATCTTGCCGTCTTCTGGTCGTCGGCATAACCGAGGAACAGTTGCCAGGCAAGCCATTGACATATCTTCGGACAATTGACCGTTGCCGTACAACTATATTCTAAGCATGGGTTTCAGCTTTGCGAACCATGGTCGTTCGTGCGACAGACTCTGCGTCCAAGACGCGATAATAGCGCTGTGGATGATGCAAGTTTGGAGCCAAATCCAGGTCGTACAGTGCCTCCATCAAGTGCCGACGGCCACGATAACGAGTCAGTCAGTGCGCTAGGTACTCGTGAAACCCTGCGGTATATGTGCTTAAGCCGAGGCTTCTAAGTAGTTTGGCGACATCCTCTGGCTATTGCATTGAACGCCATCAGCCATGGTATGTCATGGCAGGAATAAAGGTAAAGTTTAAGAACAGCCGCTCTGTGCAAACCTGTCAGTGAGGATCAATGCAGGTTCAGGAACCGTCCGGCTTGTGGATACAAGTTCCCGCGCTTAGCACTGCAGAGCACTTCCCCATCGAGAAAAACCGGCAGTGAGTCGTAGAATAGTCGAAACCAACGGTTAAAGACATACTGCGCGATGATGCTGCCGATCAGCGGCGACAGCTGGCAGCTCCGAGGAGCCTGGATTGGAGGTTGCTAGCGTTCATTGTCTGTGTAGAAACTAGCCAAGAAGCGGAAGGCACGGAAGATGGAGCCAGTGCAGCCCTTACAGGATTTTCGGTGACTAATCCCAAACATGGTTAGTTCTCACGTGGCCGGTCAACATCGCGAAACTCGATTGAGCGGCACGCGTCTAGGCACCTCCAAAAGCACGACATGGAGCATCACTGCCGTTACTCAAGCCGCTCTTTTGAGTTTTGCTACTGCAAGCTTCCTTTGAGTAGTGGTGGCGTCTCAGACCTATGCAAATATACCAATGTCATCCCTACTCAGCGGCCTGCGAGACGCTGGTGCGCGCTGATCGCCTACTCCTACTTCCGTCATGTCCGTTTACTTTCAATGGACAATCTCGTTTACGGCAATCATTACTACTGCCGTCAGCTTCTACGCGTCCCCAGCTAGCCCTGTCAACGCATGAACGACTTCGCCAAATCCATAGTTCGAGGTCCTAGCTCCGCGGGAAAGCGACCCTCTTGGTAATGGTGTCTCCCTGAAACGGACCAGACCCTGGAATGAGTGCTGGGAGCCCGCCCGTAGACCCACATCTCTCGTGGCGGCACTCATTATGCGGTGCCCTCTATAGCTCCACCGTGCTTGTTCGGTAAGGAATCCAGCTACGTAAAAGATCCTGAGCCCCCCATAATGGTTGGTCGTGCTCTACTGGGGCTCCTCCTCGCCGTGTGAGCGTCAACTGCTTCGACAACATACCAACATCACCATGGCTGTCCCAAACAGAGGGCCTGAGCTGCTCGCAGTCAACATCGCCTTCACCACCACTGCGATCCTGGCTTGTGCATTGAGGATATTTGTTCGTGTCAAAATGGTCAAGGCATTTGGCCGAGATGACTGGTTAATGGTCTTCGCAACAGTAAGTGTGGACTGACCAAATAACTGGGGCACGGCCTGACTAGATGTTCAGCTCTTCTTCATCTCTTACTCAACTTCGTCTTGCATCGGTATACACTATGGAACCGGACGCCACCACCACGATCTGTCTACCGACGGCATACAGAAGGCAAGGCATGCCTGGTATTTTTGCTATCTGTTCTACTCCGTAGCCATGATATGCGCGAAGATTTCTATCGGGTTCCTTCTCCTACGGATTAGTATTCGTAAAATCCATACATGGTGAGTAAATCCACATGCAAGTCATGTTTGCGACCTGGACTAAGAACATCAGGATCATCTGGAGTGCAATGTGTGTCTCGGTCATCGCTGGAGGCGCCTTTTTCTTCGTTTGTCTGTTCCAGTGCTACCCGGTTTCTTACATGTGGGATCGCACTTCGCAACAAGGAAAGTGCGTTGACAACACTGTCATCTCCGCGCTTGGCTATGTCTACAGTGTGTTCAGCATCATCACCGACTTCACCTTCGCGATTATTCCTGGCTTCTTGGTATGGCATTTGCAGTTGAAGAGGAGGACTAAGGTCGCTTTGATTCCTTTGATCACCATGGGCTGCATTGCGAGTGCGGCGGTCATCGCGCGATTGCCATTCATCCACTACTTCAACGCACCTGACTTCCTGTGTATGTCTCCCCTTAACTACTGTCGTTACCAAGTACTAACTCTACTAGGGTCGACGACTGATATCGCTATCTGGTCATCGGTTGAACAAGGCCTTGCTATCACAGCTGGTAGCCTTGCGACTCTCCGCCCACTCTTCTTCATTGCCATGCACAAACTTGGACTCTCTACGCGCCCATCTGGCGCATATCGACCTTCCGCATACGGCATGTCTGCCCCTTTACCCGGTAACGCCGCCCCCGCTTCCAAAGCCGACAAACTCCGGCCCGACATGTACAAACTCTCAGCCACTGTGCAAACACGCACTTCCGACGACGAAATAACGCGAGATGCATCCTTCCCGAAATCGCCTAACTGGTTCGGTGGCACCGGCGCTCCTCCCAATTCAAAGAAGAGCACGCGCGTCGACAATTCAGACAACGATAGTCAAAGGAGTTTGAGGATCAAGAGCTCAAGGAGCAGTGAGGAGGATAATTTCCAGAACGGCATCTTGGTGTCAAAGTCATTCTACATTACGGATGAAGAGAGGGGATCGGTTCTGTCTGCACCATACAGATGATGAATTTCAGCAATCTACCCACAATCACTTTCCTCAAATCATCTCAACGAAGCCGTCTGGGGTTGCCCCTGATCCTGAAAGACGGACATTACGTCGTTGCGTTTCAGCTTTGATCAAGATTGCCGCATAGACAGAAGGTGTCTCAAGGAAGCAACACCAACACCATTTTCGCATATCCAAAGTGATGCGATCCCCCACATGTTCGCTTGCCCTTGTAACTGCGAACGAACATGACCGCCACGAGCGCCATGGCTTTGGATCTACGAAAGAAGCAAGACCTAGGCTACAAGACACACGGTTCATCCAGAGCCGAAAAAGGACACCGAAGACTCGTCTCGGTAATCGCAAACAATCTGGAATCCATCCGCCCCACAGCGGCTTGAGTCGCAAGCTATACTTGACTCGCTTGGTTGACCTTGGAATTTATCAGCATCAAGGCGCGAAACACAGGTGCATGATCACCACCATTTATGTTATACCCCATCCTTGTACATTACAAAAGCGACATGACAGTTTTTTATACCCCTGTATACATGAGCATATTCTACCTAATGAACAATGTAAAGATCCTAGCATACTCAAAGGCATGATGTGACAGATGATTATGGACAAGTCAGTAACTTGCTAGATGTCGACTGCCGTCCGGGCGAGTACCTTGGTGTGTGCTATTCCAAGTCCCCGCGATGACATCTCAGTGACACCAGACACTAGGATGCCGCAACCTTAAAAAGCATTGTATGCGAACGCGAACAACAAACTGCCGCAGTCTCGCAAGGCTTCAGAACGACACACAAGTAAACGTAAGCTAGCTAGCACCCATTGCACCTGCCTTTACGATCATCTCAACTACCCCTTTCACAACTGTAATCGCTTCACGATCATCAACGTCCAAACCACCAGCCCCAACATCTGATAATTCCAGCCAAGAGAACCCGCCGAACACCACCGACCGGTCAACGTCGCACCTATGCTCTACACAAACGCTAGATTGACGACTACATCCTTGCACCAATCGAGCGATCAACCGTTGAGGCTACCATACCAACAACCGACCATGCAAACCTTCTTTTCGCACCACGACACACCAACGGATTTGACCGATTAGTGATGTCGTCGAATAGCTCCGTCATGTTGATGAAAGGGAGATTTAGTGCGCTGTTTTGACCTGGTACGCTATCCGCTCCCATCATCACTCAACCACCGCCGTCCCGTCATCTAGTCTCCATACCACCTAGCACCCTCGTTTCGCTTGGGAACCGACGTCGTTTAACGTTTCTCCCTCTACCACCACCCGTGCATATTAGTCCCTCCTCCGATCCCATACATACATACTTCCGCCAATCGTATTCAGACGACGCAGACTCGGGGCGCAAAAGGCCCGATTTTGATCGCGATCTTGGTACGCTAGCATCGCCCGCTCTGCACCAGACCCAACGCTGAAGCCAGGCCCTTCCTTCCCGCTACATAATTCCAACTCCCGGCCAGAAGGTCCGTTTGGTACGCTAGGTTAAACCCGATTCTTGACTGAGCGGCAGTGAGCTAGCGTTGCTCCGGTCTTCTTCCAGCCTTTTTCGCCGCGCGGTGGCGGTGGGGGAAGATTTACGACGTACATGACCATGGGTTTCAGATGACAAATGCCTGGGAACCGCGGTTCATCTATATATGGGGCTGGTGATTTGGAAGCATCTGGGTTTTTTGTGGAGATTGGTGAGTGTGGCAGCCGGCTGGCGTGCATTTTAGCTTGATGACATGTTGGAGGCTAGCAGATCGGAGGACGATCATAAGAGTTAGATGGCTCCGGAATCTTGGACACATCGACGTGTTGCCCTTGTCGTTGATCGAAAATGTGGTAAATAGCATGGATGTCCTGGGCCTCTATAAGTGAAGATGAGTATACAGTATGCTGAGATAGCCGAGGTGGCGAGACGGCCGGCAAGCGAGATTGAATGTAGTCAAGACTTGGAGAGACGGTTCTGGACCACAGCTCCCACGAGGCTGAGGCGAGTAGGTATATCACATTGCATAGATTGCATTCCTTATCTGATTTCAAGTATATACAGAACTACTACTTCCTGTGCGAATAACGCCCGTTCACGTACAGCACGAGCAGTCATTGCAGCTCGAGTCACGGATAGTCGGCGGCACAGCACATGTCTTCTGAGGTGTGTACGGAAGCGTAGTCGTAGGCGGCGCTGGAGCATTGATTGTCGTTGCCTTGACCAGAACCGGGATAGCAGCTCCAGTCGCAAGACGGAACTCACGGTGACCGAGAACTACGTCGTCATTAGTAAAAAAAGTTATCACCAAACTAAGGAAGAGGAAGCTTACCCCGCAGCAGACTTCCAATCTCACCAGAGTGCGAGATAATGGAGATGTACGTGCTATCATCATTGCTGATGATATCGTCGAGCACAACCTTGGACCTCGCATCCTGGTTTGCGCGCGGCTCCGCGAAAAGCTCAGTCCAGTATGGGTCTTCCTCGGCAAACCCCTTCTCGAACTTGAAGCCGGGGAAGTTCTTCTTGATGTAAGACTTGCTATGACGGCGATCGCAAGTATGCGCACTGATACCCTCTCTCAGAAACTCCTTGACGACAGGCACAAAGGGGTTCTTGCGCGGAAGAGGCACACCCTCAAAGTTAAGCTTAGCAGTGTCGAGACAGCGGTGCAAAGGACTCGTATAGAAAGTCTCGGGCGGAGATATCTTTTCGTCCTTGATGAGATGTTTCCAGAAGGTATTTACAACTTTGGCTTGCTCGATACCGGGTTCTGTGAGCTGCGCATCAGCCCACGTGACGGTGCCGTTGCCGTCTAACTCGGACCAGTAGCAGTTCCACGCTGGGGTGCCAAAGTAGGACTCAGCGGCGTTGTGGAAGCCTTCACCGTGGCGGCCCATGAAGAAGAGGGTGTAGCGCTCATTGCGCGGTGCCTTCTTGTTCAAGGTGGAGAGGTAGTGGGCGAGACGCTGCCATTGGGTTGCGTGCTTGCGATTTGGGTAGGAAGAGTCGCTTGGGTAGGTTCGGTTAATTAGACCAAAGTTGCTGCTCAGGAAATCGAAGGTCGAAGGGTCGGTGGTGTTGTCGTCTTGTTGGAAGATACCGGTCACGACAGTGTAGTTGATAGTCTTCGCGTGATGATACGCGTTGACCGAAGAGGCCGCGGCCAGAAGACCGTAGAGAAGCGATGGCGCAAGCATGTTGGGCAGATCAAGTATTAGATTATTGCAAGGAAATTCAACGCTTGTCAAGTGGGAGAACATTGGTTCATGGCGTTTATTTAAGACATGCGTGTTGTCGGATGTCTTTGCGCCGGCTGTACAACGGTGAACATGGGGAAGAGCCGTTTATATTGCTGGTAACCAATCATTAGCAAACGTGATTCGGCAGCATTGCCTGACGGGGTCTGGCGCATGCGGAAGGAAGTCGACCTTCCTGTCGCGTCGGTGGCCAAGGACGTCTTGCGATGGGCCGATGAAGATCAAAAGCGTGGTGGAGACGAAGCGTGGTGTATGGTATGGCCGTGATTGGGAGGAAAAACTCATTCGACGTGCTCACGATGCTGCACATGGAGAACTTGTGGTCCACGAACCCGGTTTCCGGTGCTGTCAAACCTCTTGGGGAACGTATTGACTGGAATAAGTGAAGCTGCTTCTGACATCCATGGAAGCCATATGGAGGAGCTTGATTCCGAAGAAGTACAATGGGAAATTGGATATGTGGTATCCGACCACTTCGGTGCTTATGCTAGATTGCGACAAGAGATGGCATCTCGCTGTCGGACACGGTTAACCCAAAAGGATTGAGTGAGCATGTCTAGTGCACATGCAGTCAAGATATCAGGACCGAGACGGCCGCGATGTCGGTGTTGGAAGTGAAAGGTCGCCCACGTGCAAGAGGTACCTGCCAAGGCCATCGGCTGTAGCTGCCCTGGCCCCAGCCGCGGCTCCACAAAAAATGTTGAAGCTGTCGCGAAGAGCATTCTCAACTGCACAGCATCCTTAGCCCAAAGATGTTCGAGAACTTGTGCGCGCTCCCAGTGGAGCACGATATTTTTGTGCAAGCGATACATCCAGAAGAGCCCGTTATATCTGTAGGCTTGGCTAGCGGCCATGTCCAGACTTTCAGGCTGCCTTCTGACGCGACCGACGACGACGACGATGACACGGCGCCAGCCTCGGAGAAAGGCTTTGGTACCATAGACAATGTCTGGCGCACACGGCGACACAAGGGAAGCTGTCGAACACTCGGATACAGCGTTGATGGTACGTCGCTGTACTCGGCAGGAACAGATGGCATCGTCAAGGTCGCAGACTCCATGACCGGCCAGGTCACTGCGAAGATTGCTGTACCGCTAGATCCGTGAGTAGCGACATTGCAAGAATCACGTGAGTATCATTAACACTTCACAGCGCCAATGGTGGCATCGATGCGCCTACGCTCGTCTACGCCCTTTCTCCGCAATCGCTCATCCTCACAACCGACTCCGGCGCACTGCACATCTACGACATTAGGAACCTCAAGGGTGGCGAAAAGGTCTCCCTGAAGCCCGAAAACTCACACCGTCCGCACGATGACTACGTCTCCTCCCTCACACCTCTACCACCCACGCAAGCGAGTACCAGTGGCTTCAGCAAGCAATGGGTCACAACAGGTGGCAGCACACTGGCAGTCACCGATCTGCGGAGAGGAGTCATGGTTCGCAGTGAGGACCAAGAGGAGGAGCTGCTTTGTTCCACCATTGTCACCGGGCTACCAAAGAAGGGCTCGAGTGTAGGTGAGAAGGTCATAGTAGGTGCAGGCGACGGTGTTCTCACACTGTGGGAGCGCGGAGTATGGGACGACCAAGACGAGCGCATCATCGTCGACCGCTCCAAGGGAGGCGGCGAGAGTCTGGATTCCATCACTGTCGTACCAGACGGTGTTGGACCCGGCGGCAAGCACATCGCAGTAGGCTTGGGCAACGGAGACATTCGATTTGCTAAGCTCGGCCCGAATAAGATTGTCTCGGAGCTCAAGCATGACGAGCTGGCCAAGGAGAGCGTCATTGGTCTCGGCTTCGACGTTACTGGTCGCATGATAAGCAGCGGTGGAAAGACCGTCAAAGTGTGGGGAGAGAAGACCTGGCAGGACGTTGATGAAGATGATGAAGATGATGAGGAGCCTGCCAATGGCAAGCGAGACCACGAGAGCGAGGATGATGGTGATAGCGACGAGGATATGGATGATAGCAGCGAAGAGGACGAGCCAAAGCAGAAGCGCAAGAAGAGAAAGAAGAACAAGGGCGGGCAGGCCCCGGGTCACGGCATCACTCAGTTTCTTGGACTTGCGGACTGAAGCAGCCGTATCGGGTGTTGTTAACGACAGCGAAGTAATGTATAAACCATTCCCAAACATTTGATGTCGCCAGCTCCTGCCTATTCATAATGGCCCCCACTCCGAGTCGGGCCTAGGCCCGACTGTCGTACCTGCTGAAACTGCGACCTCACTTCCCACCTCAGTTCCAGCATCACCACTACAACAATATGGCTAGTTATAAAAAGTCCTATTCACATATCGAGCATGCTTCGACTTGTCCATGCGCAACGAATGCGCAAGGTGCAGTGCTTCCGCCCAGCTCAGTACGCCGGTATCGCTTACTAACTCGTGATGTGTCAGATGACTGCAACTGCTTCTACTCTGCTCTCTCCAAGACGGCTGTATTCCAGCCCGCTACGCTCGAAGGCCCCGCCGGTGTTGACGGCCGGCTAGATGAGATTGCACAAACGCATGTCAGAGATTTTGTGGCGGAGAAGAGGTCTCAGGGGGGCGAGCGACCTAATGTGCCCCCGTCGAAGCTTTATCAACCGCTCATAGACGGCGAAATACGCGTCTTGGAGTTATATGCAGGAGAACCCGGAAGTCCACTTAAAGGAGCTCTACACACAGTTAGCATCGACTTCTCGTATCCTGCAAGAGAGGAGCAATATACTCAGCCTTTCGACAATCCAGCAAACACAAGCAGGAGAACCTTGACCTTCACGAGGCATACCAACCATGCCGTTTCGCTTGTTACAGGGGGACCTGTGTGGTTTACCGCACTGAGCTATGTCTGGGGCGCACCCGTCTTTGACCACACAGTAGCGTTCGAGCATGGTGAGTTGAAGATTACAGCAACCCTCGCAGGGGCCTTGGAACACATGCGCTCCACTCAGCATAGTGTGGTCATGTGGGCGGACCAGATCTGCATCAACCAGGAAGACAAGGCAGAGAAGGTGCAACAGATCCCACTCATGGGGATGATATACACACATGCGACGGAAACCCTTATATGGCTCGGCGACGAAAACGGAGAGGACCCGGCCCTCGCATTAGACTTGATGGAAACCGTCTACGTGCGTCTGCAAGGGACCGATGCGCAAGTAACGCCCGCCGACTTTTCGAGGCTGGACTTTCCACCCAGCGATGACCGAGCATGGTGGGCAGTCCGCCAATTCCTCCGGCGACCCTGGTTTGGCAGGCTGTGGACCATTCAAGAAGCTGTTCTTTCAAGAAACCTGTTTGTAAAATGCGGCAAGGCAGAGGTCTGCTGGGATGACTTTGCAGCGTGGTGTTACGACTTGAGAGAAACCCACATTCTCAGCTGGCTAACAGCAGATGTTGTGCTGAAGGAGAAATACGGCGAGGTTACCAATGCTTGGACGCTGCCACCACAAGGGGCGACGGTAGTCAATTCGATACAAGCTGATCGCCTGCACGGCTTGACACTTGTCCAAAAAGAAGCCTTACTGACTATCCTGGAGTCTACGCGGTATGCTCAGGCGACCGAGCCGAAAGACAAGATTTACGGCGTACTGGGTATAGCAGATTCGACCGTCGTACCGGATTATAAAGGATCCACCAGAGAGGTATACCACAACGCCTGCCTGACGGAGATTCCGCTGCGTATATACGAGCTGCTGAGCTGCGTCGACCACGAGGAGCCGCTTCGGCCATCATGGGTACCAGATTGGAGCGCACCTCGTGTGACAAAAGCCCTGGGCTACTTGACAAAGTCTTGGGCTCTATATTGTGCGGGCGGTAGACCCGTCACAGGCGCGCAGCTACCCAAAGTGGTCTTGAGCGATGACAAACGCGAGATCACGCTCTGTGGTAAGGTCGTCGATACAATTGCCATCATAGGCAATGTTAGCAACGACCCTTTCCTTGATATCACCAATCCGCCGCTGAGCAACAGTGATTTGAGATCCTACGCGGAGCTGGTCATGGGTGCAGGTCGAACACAGACCTACCTCCTACTAGGCACTTCAACCTACGAGGCCTTTCTACACACACTACTGGCAGGACGCGATGGCACAGGCGTCTTAGCTCCCTCCGCGGATCACAGCGAGGTCTTTGGCTTAATTCTCGATGCCACGACAGGAAAATCTCTCTCCCTTCCCGGCCAGACTATGAGCATCCGGCGGCAGAAAGGCTACTTCAACCTCGACAGTCTCAAGACGAGGAAGCCAGCCAAGATCTTGGAAGACTTGAATACGGCGCTCCGGGCCGCCTTAGAGATGCGGCGATTTGCTGTAACCGAGAAGGGCTACTTTGCGCTAGTGCCGAGAGGTGTGCAAGTCGGTGATAAGGTCGCTGTATTCGATCGAGCATGTGTACCTTTTGTGATGAGGCAGATCCAAGTTGAAGGGGATGGCAAGAAGTTCGAGCTTTTGGGCGAAGCATACGTTCATGGTGTCATGAAGGGGGAAGTAATGGCTATGGAGGATATCGAACTTCAGGATATCACGCTTCTCTGAGTGCATCACATGTGGTCTACCATCTCGACAGACACCCACACATCGCGATCCGGTCGGCACTTCTACACTAGCGGCAATGCGTCAACCAGGACGTGAGCAAGCCTCTTCATATGAGGCGGCACTCTATCCCCGGGTATCTTGGCATTTTTCGACCCTGCAATTTACACACGGCTAAGCCATTGGCTAAAGTCAAGCTCGCTTAAGCCCTTCGAAGAACATTCGACACGTCTTAATACATTGCTTAATCTAATCGCGTTGCAATTACAGCGATGCGGCCTGGCTGATCCGGGTTTTGGAAAGTATAGCGCCGGGTGGTAGCACGTGGTTGGGGTGTGTGAAGTGGTGGCACGGTATGCAGTTGGTGGACACGAAGGAAATGCTCCGTTGCCTGGGGTAGTGAAGTGGAACTTGTACGCATTCGGAAACATCGATGCGACATCATCGGGCATGTAATATATCTGCAAACCTTGGGTTTGAGTCCGAGGCTTGGGTGGTGGCGTGGAGAAGTTAGTTATAAGCAACGCGAATGACATGAACATCACAGCATCGAGCTCAACACCAGCACTCCAGCCAAAGTAACATCAACCTTTACAATGAAGCTCTCTACATCGCTCGTTCTCGCTGCAGCAGCTACTTCAACATCCGCACACACCATCTTCCTCAGTGTCAATGGCGGCGCAGTAGGAGACGGTGTCCGCGTCCCCACATACGACGGTGTAAATCTCTTGCTCCCCCAAGACCCGTTGCTCTCCATCTAACCCTTTCGCAGCCCATAAACGACGTTTCCTCGAACGACATAGTCTGCAACGGCGGCCCAAACCCCACCGCGAAAACCTCCACCGTCATCACCCTACAAGCCGGCAGCACCGCGAAACTAACATGGCGCCACACCCTGACCTCCGGTCCTAGCGACGTCATCGATTCAAGCCACAAGGGACCCGTCATGGCCTACATGAAGAAAGTCAGCGACGCAAAGACCGATTCCGGTATCGGCGGAGGCTGGTTCAAGATCAGCGAGGACGCCTTTGACGGCTCGAAATGGGGCGTTGACCGGTTGATTGCGAACCAGGGCGTGCAGACGGTTACGATTCCCAAGTGCATTGCTCCGGGACAGTATCTGCTGAGGGGTGAACTGATTGCGCTGCATTCGGCCAGTTCGAGCATGGGCGCGCAGTTTTATATGGAGTGTGCGCAGATTAATGTTACGGGTGGGGAGGCGAGTAAGACGCCGGCGACGGTTTCTTTTCCGGGGGCGTATAAGCAGAATGATGCGGGGATCTTGTACAATTTGTACACGGGTAGTAAGACGTACACGAGTCCTGGACCGGCTGTTTTCAAGTGCTAGATGATGTGGTAGTGGAAGGATATTGGATTGTAGATACCTGGTAGCTTCTGACATAGAATGTCTCACACCAACTTCAGTGTCCGTCTTTCCCAAGAGGCCGTCTTGAATGTACGGGTAAACTGCTCTGCATCCTCTTCTTGCCACGGTGGCAGTATTGTCGCTATTCCAACCCGCTGCGCAACCCTTGCCTCCTGATCAACCCAGCTGAGCAACAGCAAATCCATGGATTCATGACAATCTAAGTTCCCCTCCAGGCACATACAGAAATCGCAGGTTCCCAGAAAGTCCTGTCCGTCTTCCATATCGAGAGTGATCTGACCGACATAATGGTCACCAACTTCATAGGCTTCAAAAAACTGATCAAAATCTGCATACCTAAGGCACGCGCCCTCCACAATGATGTGGGAACCCTCTAGCACAGCGCCGTAAACATTGTGTTCGTTCTGCAATATCATGTGCTGATCGATCAGCTTGGGGTGGAACGTCTTAGCCCAAGACTCGTTCGCATCGACGGTAAGTGTTGATGCCAAGACGACGTTATATTCCACCGCACCTTCCACACCGGCCCAACTCCAGCTAGGCGCTATGTAAAAAGGCGGTGAGGCCAGGTTCCTCGACTCTTTCTTCCAAGCTAAGCCTACTGCTAGGTGCGTGCTCCAGATCCCTGCTAGATACTCTCCCAGTTGACCACTGTGATTGAGCATTCTCGCGACACCGGCGATGGCGTGAAGTTTATCGGTCGGCACACTCAAGAACCTGGATGAGTACATTCCGACGCATTGATGCCATGTTTCGATTCTGTCCAAGGATATACCTTTGGATCCGCATTCCAGCATCTTCGCGTTGTGATCTTGGTAGCGGGGTATTGTGCTTTCTTGACTTAAAGCTTCGGTCACAAACTGTTGGCACGCTGACTTAGAATATACATCATACCAATCCTTGATACCTCCAGCACTGCTGAAAGCTTCATAGAACAAACACGCTGCGCATTCCCAGATCATCTGCTGCCTCGTGTAGTGTAATATACGGGGTGCCAACATTCTCTCTTGCGCAGCCCAGCCACGTGTAGACAAGATAGAACTGTTAAGCTGGAAGCTATGGCGAAGCATAATTTGGTGTAGATAAAAACTTTTTCCTTTACCTAACATGGGCGACCGAGATACGTCCCGACGGTTCAGAATCCCTCTACTGCTATCTTCAGCAGCAGTTGCGGAGATCATGAGAGTCGACAGCCCATAGTAAGAAGCCATTTTTCCTGCTTCCTGGTCCCAATCCTCAGCATTGTCTTGAATGATACATAGCGCATCTATCCAAATGTATCGGAAGCCTAATCGTCGCGAGATCTCTATCGCATCCGTGAAGCTGTTTGGAAGCAGCTCAAGACTGATGGCTTCCTGGTATTCAGGTAGCAGGGAGTTTGTGAGTGTCATCAGTCTTTTGACACCCCAACAGTGGGACAAGATTACGTATCGGCCCAATGCACCATTGGTGATCCGCAGTCTAGGTGGCGCAAGAGGATCGATTGGAATCTCGATGACTCGCTTTGGAAGTGCAACTGGGTTCAGCGGAGAGCATTTGACATGCTCCGTGCACTGATTGATCCAATCATCTATCAGATTGAAGCAGCTGCTTTCACGCGGATTGGGGGATACCAGTGTCATGCCTAAGAAGGTGTTGTTCGATTGATGATCTAGATGGTCTCGAATCAGTAATCGAATCGCGCCCAGTCGCATTACAACACACCTACCTCTCTTCTCTTCTGCAAAACAGGTGGTGAGTTCTAGGTCGTAATCTACTTCCTCACGCAGCAAATCTATAGGCCCGGACAGCGCCCTCACGAGCAAGCCGTCAGGTGATAGGGTGATGGTGTGGTCCGACAATTCCGGTATGCGATCAGACCATGTTTTTGAGCTTTGAAGGATCGTAGAGAAGAACTCGCAGCCACCGCAACCAGCGCGACCAGGTCCGAGACTCTGGGATTTGAGAAGCAGCTCGTCATAAGGGCCGAGAATTTGGTCTCCCACCACTGGATCGGATGCCACGAGCTGCGAGCAGACGCTGCATAATTCCATGTTCGCTCTTCGCGTTTCGCCCGCTGCTGTCGGAAAGGATTAAAATTCAAGGATAACTTCTGGCGCGCTGCGATATCCCATCCGTGGTTGCCTGATTGCCGTGAGTTCACAAGGCTGACAATTAGGAAATCTCGAAAGCGACCAAGAGCATCGAAGAACAGCGATGCTGCCTTGTGTGAGGTTGATTTGAGTCAGATCAAGGTCGTATAGAAGAGGTGTCATGGACAACAACCGGGTGAATCGTGGCGTGGTATGATTAGTCATGTCAGTACCGGGCGGCCACGTTGGTCTCGTGACTTTTGGGAGCCAAGATCGGAAGTGATCAACTTTGTGAGAAATCGCATCGGGAAACAATCTAGAAGTGCAGCGGCAACATCTTCAATCGGTGATCTATTAGAGAGGTCTCGGCTCGTTAAACAGGAGACGAAGATCAGTAGAGCCGCAAATTGGGGAAGCGCGTCATGACCCACCTGGCGCAAGCGCATTCGCCGACGCATCGCAACCCGTCTTCGTTCTCGAACATTGTACAAGCCTTAGATACGCCTAATGCTATGCAACATATGCATTCAACCATTGAGAGGCGTAGCGCTATCAAAAAAAAGACTCTGAGAACAGTGCGAGGGCCTCAAGCAGGATGGAAATTGAACAACTTGAGCTTACTCATCGGCAAGCGGGAACGAAGTTGACTTCCCTACCTAGTTGAGTTTCTCAACGCACAATCCCCACACGAATGCTTAATGAAGATTTTGTAGGATATAGTTGCGGCACCGATAGGTCTAATGTCTTCCTCAGTAAGCCCATTCTTTCTTGCTACCACCAGGGCACCCAGGAGTTCCATAGTATCCGCCAACGATCCACAAATTCACATCAACTACAGCCCAGATACCCAGGCCACCAAGAGTAGCAGTCTTGAAGACAGCCAAAACCCAGTGACGCGCGTACCAATGGTCTGCACCGAACACGCCAAGCCAGAAAGCTAGCAAAGTCGCTGTCCGTTCCTGCTTGTAGCATCTCTCCGTATCTGCGCGCTCGTCCCATCCACCCCAGCTCCTCTTGTCAAGAGACGTGTACTGCTCTGAGACTGCTCGATGTCAACACACTGAAGAGATGCCGGCTGAACAGCCTCGAGATATATTGCCTACCGGGGACAAAGAAGAACATGCAAGCAAGAACCACGACTAAGAGCCCTTGAGCGTGCAGATAGTGACGCCACCGTACTCCAAGGCTGCTTACATGCCGTAGGACCTCGGTGAGAATGATTGCCATAGATCTTAAAGGAATCGTTTTGTTCGTGGAGCATGTCCTGATTGACGTGCTTCGGCAAAGTATGAGGGTGCCAGGACACGAGAGTCCCGCTATATGAAGAATACCACCCGAAACGTGGATAAAGAGTTGCCGCAGATATTCAGCACGCAACCCAGTTGACTGACGAGGAATCGGCTCAGCTGACACGCGCTGGCAAGGCTCAGTGGCTGTTCCGGTAAGGCACAGCCACAATTTTTAGCGCGAGACAATGCATGCACGATTTAACCCATTGTGATCTAGCGGGGGCTGCCTTGCCAGCTGAATGATCAACCAGCATTATCGTGAATCCGCGGATCCAGGCAAGCCAAGGACGGCAGAATATTGCTTTCGGTATCACTTTCGACCTTGTCTGTCGTATCCGACGACCATGGATGCGGGCCCCCTTGCGCAAAGTCAGGGCCTCATCAAGCACATCCGCACCACTTTGACAATCCTCTTAGCCATTCAATTAGGGGCTATACTCTTTCCACATGCATGCTTCTCGTCAGCATTGGGATATGTTGTCCACAGTCTATACAGATACTTCTCGCCCGATTTCGAAACAGCCTTAATAAACGGGTACATCCGGCCGATCATCGGATTGCGATTGTGTTGGCGATGCAGGCTCTTAAGATACACGCCTCCATGTTGCAGAAAGCGACACTTTGACAATGCAGCACAACTCGAGGTATCTGGCTCGAGAGGCTGTTGGCTCTGTCATGCAGTAAACGAACAATTTCGGCAATCTCAAGCCGACTTTGAAAACCCGCCCAAACATCACCGGCCTGATGATCTTCGCACACACCATCTTTTGCTATGGTTTGCTGAGCAAACTGAAACCAGTAGTGGTTTTCTTGATCACCTCAGAGGCAAGAGTATGTCGCCTGTATAAACTTCTATATTATTGGATACTAACTTTGCGCGGCAGGCTACATTGCGTATATCTATGGGCGACATACTCGCGACGTAGCTTTAGATCCATCTTCGGAAGCTAGTTTCTGCTTGGTGAAGGAGTGGGTGGAAAGATGCGATAAACAACACATTTGTTACCAAGGCAATCACTCGCCGCTACCATCCCGGGTGATCGACGTCGGCGCAGAAACACCATACTTGTATATCTCGGATGATCATCATGCCCCATATATGACACTCAGCCACTGTTGGGGAGGCAAACAGCCACTTACTACAACTACTGCCACACTCAAAGAGAGGTGCATGGGTATATGTATGGAATCTTTTCCCGAACTTTACCGTGATGCGGTAACCATAACTCGGAAGTTAGGCATACAGTACCTTTGGATCGATAGCCTTTGCATACTTCAGGATTGCAAAGATGATTGGTCAAAAGAAGCGGCCAAGATGGGCGACATATACCGGCTATCGTATCTGACTCTGTATGCTCTCAGTTCTCCTGATTGTGGTCATGGAATGCTGGCCCAACGACATGGCCTAGCATCAGCAGAGACGCCATCGCTCAACAACGCCAACAGTCTCGAAAAGACGAGAGCACATGTTTTCAGGACTGCACCGCTTTGTCAAAGAGCTTGGGCACTTCAAGAACGGCTTCTATCGCCCAGGCTCTTGTATTACAGCGATGGAGAAACGTTCTGGGAATGTCTTGCGCACACAGCCAGGGAAGGGAACCATCGCATCATCCCACACAAGCCAACCCCGTATCGCTACGAGAGCTATGAATGCCCTCAAGTAAGGATTCATCTCGTCAAGCCATTGGAAGATAACCCCTCGTTCCCAGTCTCTATACCGTCCGACTGGCAGATCATAGTGTCAGAATACTCACGCTGCCGTCTAACTTACCGTTCGGACAAACTGCCCGCTTTGTCCGGGTTGGCATCCATGTACCGAAGGAACACAGGCTATACCTACGTTGCGGGCATGTGGATAGAAAATTTGGCAGATGAGCTCCTATGGTTTTGCCCTCTCGAACAAGACTACCAGCCCCAAAACCTTGAAGCGAGCAGTAATAGTCTAGTTTCAGAACCTTCTTGGTCTTGGATTTCCTCAGATCTTGCTGTTCGATTCAAGGCGCTGGGCAATATCACTGGAAAATGGTCGACGGACTTTGAGCTTATTCAGCTGACGGGGACCGAACAAGCCACAGACGACGACATCCCCTATGTACTCATGATCCGAGCTTATTTCTATCGGGTATCTCTCCAGATCTCACACACTTCTAGGAGCTGTATCCTACTCGATGGTACGGGTCGTGAAAAACTCGGCAGAGGAGTTCTGGATGTGCCAGGGGGGCTCTCCATCGTCCCGAGATCATGCGCTGCAATAGTCGTCAGGCGGAAGCTGCAAAAAGACATGTTTCAGCTATCGCCATACATGACGTATCTACTCCTCGTCGTACCCGCTCCTGAGGCTCAAGGAGAAGAACGCTGGAGAAGAATTGGACTTGCCTGGACTACCCGGTCTTTGACATCTGCACCGGAAAAGTCACTGATCAGGCTAGTTTAGATGGCTGGTCTGGAAGCTGATCATGAGCGGTGTTCGTGAAGATTGCTCGTGCCGCAGTTCATGCCGAGAATAGATTGCGCGGCGGCTGGCGTTCTGGTGGTAGGCATCCAATCCACGGCGGCACCCGCCTGTCCACGTGGCGCCGGCCCCGCTCTCCCACACCCACACGACTTCAAAAACGCAACAGCGCTGTTATCCCCACTTCACAACATATACCTACGAATTTATTCCGCATGAGTTCACTCTTGATGAGAGCTTTCAACATAGTTACCGAAGCGTTTGCGTCCTCTTCAGTGGCAATCATGATGATGCGTATCTGACATCTAAGTCTCGCCGACGGCGCGCGTCCCAGCACGGCTCGCCGCAGGATCACGACGTTTGTTTCAAACCCCACGTTCTGCTCGGAAAACGGCAAAAGGTAGAAGCGACAAACCACAATGCGAATCCGATACGGCTCGTGCGTGTTATCGGAATTGCAGTGTACGCGCCTGCATACTACACGAGAGGTTTCGAAGCTTTGTTTCTGTATGGGGCCAAAATCCTAAGCTATCGTGGGTGGCTACGGTCCATCCATCTCCCTGATCCATCTCTTAACATCACAATCACCATGATCATATCGCTTTCTGGCCATGTGTATGCACACGGATAGATTGCGCAGGTGACACAGTCTCCTTGATGGCTCATCAACGCTGAGCCTCCTCGTCCAGGTCTCGGAGTAGGTAGGCTGAGCAAGGCAGCCACCTGCGGCTCTGCGGCACGGATCATGCAGCCACCAAACACTTCAAACTCGAAGGTCTCAAGGTTACGCATCCATCTTGACCTTGAGTCGTTCCTACATGTTTTGGAGTGGAGTTCACCTGCCATTAGCGGTAATGTGGCTGCGCGACTGGACTACTGTACAGCCTTTGCGCTTACAGTGTCATGCGACCAGAATGTCTGAGGCCGACACTGCAGCATCTTGGGTGTTTCGGCGACATAGAAGCCGACAACTCCGGAGCCTCGAGTGACACGCTCGTCATCTAAAGATTGAGACTATATACTAGCTTCAATCAAGCTCTTGGTTACGTTAACCATACATTTATCTTTACCACTCCAGACTCAAGACTTTCTTTCGAACAGTATCTTCATCGTAGTGGCGCTCTACCACTGCGTTTACTATGGCTCTCGCTTCTCATGACTTGAGTGTGAAGGATAGCGCTTTCCGGACGCCCAAAAGAGAACGTGTTGCACCCCACAAATCGACCATTATCCGGGAGCCACGGGACACTATCGTTCCAGCCTCTTCTTCCAAATGGAAGGATAACAATCTCCTATCTCTACTAGATTCAAGGAACTTCTCGTGGCTGTCTCCAACATCAACAGTCTCGACTGCGTCATCTCCAGTAGACTCCAAGGATATCTGGGATCCGCCCGAAACTCCCTATAGCTCGACAGACAAAACCTCCCCGCGAGATCACCAGACGCCTTTGACCCCGCCAACACCTTCTGTGTCTTCACGAAAGTTACGCATCACTCCGGTGTCCAAGCTTTCATTTGGCATTGAGTCGAGCTCAGTGTCTAAGAGGCACTTTCTCGACGAGAATGATGTGGTGCTGCAGAGCGAGTCATGTCGTCCGCTCAAGCTGTTTCGAGATATAGATATTGAGTTCGAACCAAGTAGGTCATCACAATCTTGTAGCTGACAGCAGTTGTATCTGACTCGCATGTTTTAGTTTCGCATAAGTACACCCCAGCAATCTGCGTGAACTACGATATCAACCCTTCATTCAACTTCACTCATGGTTCTCACAACTCTATCGCTTCGCGAACCCGATCCAAGACTAGCAACAAAGAACCAGTGACGACGGGGATACATACCGTATCTGGTAGGGAAGAGGGCAGAGTGGAGGCTCTTCACAACCCGACCAACACGCTTGTGCAAGAAGGACTTCGAAAATTGCTCGAACACATCATACCATTCGATCTTCATGCAAGGCTGGCCGATACTGCTAGACTAGGGAAATGCGTCGGTTCTATGGCGAAGGCACCATCTGATCGATGCAATTACAAGAGAAAGGTGCAAGCTTCACTCACTGACGAAGATGGAATCTTAAAGAGTCTTGCATCTTGCAAGACCAAAGATGACTGCGTTGGTATGCTCAGCCATATCAAAGAAGTCATAGAGGCAGTCATGTGTCGCACTCATCAACACGCAGCGATGAGGCGACTCGAAGAGGAATTGGGCGATGTACTACAAGATGAATCATCGAAGGACGTCATGATTGTAGAACAAGTCGACCGCTACACTCTGGGGCAGTGGATCGATGCTATCTGTGACCCGCGCGCCTCCATCAATCGTACGTCCTGGTATAAAAACATTGCAAAGAATGCCAAGCCAGACGTACTCTTCAAGCCAAGAGCAGCTTCCACTCAGTCACAGATACAGCAGCCTTGTTCATCAGATTTCATACCATATCAGACGGAAAAGTCCAGAGGACAGTCCGTATCCTCCGCAATTCGTGAGAAAGCCACCTCTCCGTTAGGAAGCAAGGATCACTCTTCGGGTTTCGTATACCTTTATTGGGACAAGCTCTATTTCGGCAAGGTGAAGATTGGGTATACTGACAATCTCGCCAGGCGGCTTAAAGAATGGGACAAAAAGTGCAAGCGTGAGCACATATATCATTCCAATACTGCGAGCCAGGTGAAGATGTCGCATGTGCATCGTGTCGAGCAGCTCATACACGCCGAGCTGAAGGAATGTAGATATCAAAGGCAATGTGAGGGCTGCGGCAAATTACATAAGGAATGGTTCGAAGCGACGGAAGTGCACGCAATCAAGGTTTTGAAGAAGTGGCGAGAGTGGATTTTGCAGGAGCCGTATGTGCAGGACAAAAAGTCGGGTGATTGGGTGATCAGACCGGAGATGCTCGATACTCTTGATCGAATGTGTGCACCACTGCCTCAAGAGGTGGTTGAACAAGAGCATCATAAAAGGAATGGAGGTCTACAGCGTGTGACGCCGAAGAAGAAGAAGGGCAACCGACGAACGATTTGACATTCTGGAGCAAAGTCAACTGGAGAAGATAGTCATCAGAGAATAGCATTACAAACCGGTAATCATAAAAAAGCCTTCGCTGGACGATCAGAATTTCCACCAACATTCCGCAAGCAGGGATATGCGCACACTCGACAAAATTACAAGACCTAGTTGAATGAAGTTGGAGATCATGAACAGAATGGCATGGGCGCTTTGACCTATTTTGGGTAGATGTGATGTCCACGTATGTATGCCTGCCCGACCTCCATCACGAGCAGGACGTTCCTGTACGCCTGAACAAGGTTCTGAGTGAGTACTGAGGGCCGTGAGACCTTCGCAGAACAGTAGAATGTACTATTAGCATCCGACCGCAATAGTTTCTCTATTACCCTCAACCACTCCAGCATGTCTATAACAGCTAACATACACTACAAATCTTACAACATTCTCAAATACAAACTGGTTCCCCCCTCAATATTTGTAGTTCTCGGGGCTGCGAAGTTGGCGAGAGCTCGCAATGATGATCATGAGAGAAAACTCGAGAGCTGCTTGCTTGGGATGGAGATGAAGCGTCAAGCAAAGTCAAGGGCCGGTGAATCATCAAGAAGATTATGTAGAACCGCGACCGCATTAGAGCGGGGTAGTCAACGAGGGCAGATCATCAAAAAAAAAAAAAGAAGCTGTTTGTAATCCAGATCACAGCATTTCGTCACCTAAGCAGACGACCCAAAGTCTTCGTGATGCGTATTCGGCTCATGACATGTTGTTTTAGCATATGGTCCATCGAAATCAGGTCTCTGTTGCAACGAAAGCTATTGGCCGAGCATCAGACATGCACCGAATCTGGTCTAGCTCCTACTCGGGCTCGGTCGCCCGTCGCCGACTGTCATTTTTCCATGTCGGTCAGCCCGCCCGATCCACGCACAAGCGTCGGTGACGATCACCGAAAGCTCTACCAACGAGTCAGTAGTTCACTGCAATGAACTTGCAAAATCTACCGAGCATGGGTCTGGTCATTGTGGACGGCTCGAAATGCGGAGTGGTTTGCGGGGTTGACATTCTACGGAAGTCACGATCGGGCCGAAAGCCAGGTGCCATAGGATACAAATACTTCGGATATTATCACAAACAAGCACTTCACCCCTTCTTACGATCCTGAAGTCTCTGCCATGCTGCGCTTTGCTTACGCACAGCTCACCTATGCCGCGTTATTTGCGACAGCACTTTCTAGCCCTGTGGACCATGACAGTTGTACTTCGTTACGACACAGTGCGGACTACGTTGTCAGCTCCAGTCGTGTAAACGTTGGCGGAACTGCAGAAATCTCAGCTGTAGCTGCCCAAAATGTCACGGAGACAAATGCAGCTTCCTTTTGCCGTGTTGTTGGACTCATGCCATACGGTCCAAATAACACACTAAATTTTGAAGTCTGGCTGCCCGAAAACGAAAACTACAATGGGCGCTATTTGTCTGTCGGTACGTATTGAATCAGTCAGATCAATGCCTGTGTCTTGTGGTTTCTGACATCATCATGTAGGCAACGGCGGACTTGCAGGCGTGATAGATTACCAGGCAATGGCCACGAATCTCAACTCTGGCTTCGCTGTCGGAGGGTTTGTTTTTGCCCCCTCTGCATCTTGTCATGTTGAGCTGACTGATAGGCCCCAAGGTGTGACTCTGGACATTTGGTGTCCGAGAATGGCCCTACCAAGCCAGGAGGCTATGTTCCATTCCTTCACTCATATGTCCAGACCACAGCGTGGATCCGGGATTCAATCTCCATGTTCACTGTACCAGCAAAATCCATCACAGCAACTTTCTTCCGATACCAGCCACGGAAATCTTACTTCTCAGGCTGTTCCACAGGTGGTGCTCAAGGGTATGCACTGGCCCAGTACCATCCCGATCTCTTCGATGGTATTGTTGCAGGATGCGCCGGCAATTGGTACACCCACCTCATCCTTTCTTTCCTGTGGAACGGCCTTCATGCACAGAAGCCTGGTGCATTTCTGGCCCAGGACCTACTCACATTTGCAAGGAACGCAGCGCTGGAGAAGTGTGACAACATTGATGGCGTGGAAGACGGAGTGATCAACGACCCAAGCAAGTGCGACTTTGAAATTACATCACTACTGTGCCGGTCTGGGCAGCCCCAAGTTGAGAATAATACGACGACATGTCTGAACGAGACGCAGCTTGCCACTTTTGAGGCGTTCTACACTGGGCCCGGGCCGGATGTATACCCCGGGTTTGCAAAGGGATCGGAATCCGAATGGCTTATGCAGGAAGAAAGCCTCTACACCGCGTATGCAGTACCTATATTGCAGAACCTTGTCTTCAAGAACTTGAGCTATGATTACACCACTTTCGAATTTGAGAACGATGTCGAGATTGTGGACAAGATTGCAGGTCCTTTGATCACTGCAATATCTCCAAGACTCGATGCTTTCAGAGCTCGGGGTGGAAAACTTATTGCATCGCAAGGTTTGTCGTCCACCGACTCACACGAGCACGAAACCATTGACTTACATGGATAGGCTGGGCTGACCCTTTTAACGCCCCTACTTGGCCTATCAATCAGCACAACGAAGCGAAAGCTATCTATGGCGAGGCGCGACTCAATGATTTCTGGCGCTTGTTCATGGTCCCGGGTGGCGGTCACTGCGGCCCTGCTGCTAGTTATCCTCAGGTTCCTGGAAAGTACCACTCTCTCGAAGCACTCATCCCATGGGTAGAGGATGGTATAGCTCCTGAATACGTTCTGGCTACGGAGCCTTCAGATGGAAGTAACAGGACAAGGAGACTTTGCCCATACCCACAGCATGCAGAGCTGGAAGGTCAGAATGCTGACCAATACGAAGCATATACTTGTGTCGATTAGCGGAGCCACTATAATCAAATAGAGGGGCATCGATGTGCTATCCGGCGACATTGTATATAGGAATAGTTGAGGTGCATCAATGTTCTCGCCGATACATCTTGAAAGAATATTAAACGATCCCAATAATGGTAATGCGTGAGTGGCTCGTCGGCCATTGAAATGGGATCCATGTGCGACTAGTCTGCTTTGCGTCATCGCAGTACCACGGGACAGTGTGTACCCCCTGCCAATTTATGACTCACCAAGACTGTAAATCCGGTACCAGTCTATAAGAAAAACGTATATATGTAACGGTTCATGCATCCCGACATTGCATCTTTCACGAACACTCGACTCAATTTCAACCAAATCTTGAAAGATACGAAGCGAAAATCCATACTGCTTGCGCACAAATCACAATGACACCACCAAATCCAACCACCACCAGCTCTAAGCGACGTCGACCGGTATATACGAAATTCACCGACGATTCGCGCGGACGAATCGATCCCCCACCACCACCTGGTCCTGCGCGCAAACCTATATCACTCGCTGAACTCGAAGAGATATGCGCTTCCTGGGACTTTCCCCGAGGGGGGATCAGCTCGCTCACACCTTGGACCATGCTGAGCGCCTCCTCTATGACACGAGTACAGGGCCGTGGAAAGATGAGCGGGACCAAAAAAGGAGCCCGCGCCGGAGTTTTATGACCGAGATTCGATACCTGTTACGCAGAAAAGTAGATGGGTTGGTCTTGGTGTGACAACAACCGGTTCACTCCCTAGAGGTGTAGTTTGTCATTTGCCCATCTACCTGTAGATTCCTGTTCGATTCCTGACCAAGGCACTTTGCGGGTATGTCGAGCTCGTCGAGGTATGTTCGGATACCTGAAGATCGCGCTCATCATAGCTGAGACGATCAGAGGAATGCTGAATACGGTAGCACAGTACGCCAGCCGCCATAGGCGTAGGACTTGGTACCGGCTCATCTACTTAAGTTTATCCATGTTAACACAGCACGAAGGGCGAGTGTGAGTTCTGCTCTTTAGAGCGATTGACAGCGATTCAGCCGCATCGACAATGTCGCGCGCCTCTAGACAAATTGACATGTGATGTGCCTTCGCTGGGACTACTGCTGGATGTTCTGTAAAGACTGCCTATACGAAGCGCCTCAAGTGGCGGGGAACGACTTAGAAAGGGCACGAGCAAGACGCGGATAACGACGTGACCGATATGGTAGATTAGTGGCACAGAACGATTTTCACGCTGTCATGTTATCCAGTGATAGCATAGAGCAAGGTCAAAAATGTTGAAAGAGTGGAGACTAGAAAAGTAGGAATGAGGGCCCTTGTGCGGCTATTCATGTTGTTAATACAGCGACATAGTCTGAATTCCAGTCGATATCGTCTATCTCTAGTGTTGTTCGTACAGCGGCATTCTTTTCGAGCTGCCATGAGCCGAGGGCAGGAGGGGATTGGAAGGGACGAGCGTTCACGCCGTTGTAGTCGAAGCCCGCGAGCTGCTTCCAGGCGTGCGACGGAAAGATAGCCGTTGTTGTTGGGCTCAGCTCTCATACAGACACTAAGGGCCGGTACAGCAGGGTGTCAGGATGACGAAATCTGCGATCTATGGTAGAGATGTTCTCCTAGCAATGATCTCGTTGGGCGTGAACGGAGAGTTAGATAATTAGAGGGTTGTAAAAAACAGATGGAATTGATGGCGGTAGACTGTGGGCTGCGATGCATGTATAGACTGGCAATGTGAGAGTGAGAAAGAGTCAGGGTAGACGGACGATGGGTGACGAGCTGGGAGGCAGTTACTTGACCCACTTTCTTAGCTCCCCCAAGCTCTAGCTCACGACGAAAGTTTCGAAAAAGTTTCCTGTGGCACTGCAAAGCGGCGAGAGAGGGGAAGAACGTGTGAGGACCGCATGCGAGCACGGCCACGCTGAGATTGCAGCACCAACGCTCGTGCCTGGGATGCAGGACGGGAGCTTTCCTATGCCGCGTGCGCGAAGAAAGGACCTGGTCTTGGGTAAGACTCTCTTATCATGGAGCCAGAGACGACTTTCCGATGCAGGTAAGGCCCAGATGACTGAGTCGCGGACGATCCATGCTGTCGACGTTTGCTGGCTTGGTTGAAACCCCTCGCTTCTGCCTAGCTTTGGCGAGATTTAGTTTGGGGGGGAGGCTGTGACGGTGCTGCAGGGTTCGGGCCTTAGAAAGTCGGAATCGGCGGTCCCTCAACCTGCCCGGCGCGCACGGTGCATGACTTGCGTCACCGGCAAAACTTCCAGCCTAAACATGACAAGGGAGATCAATGATCGAGATGTTTCGAAACAAAGACTCGTCCGCGGATAGCTCCTAATGTAGCTCGATAGAATGATTCACCATGACTTGTCGCTAGCAGCATCGCTCCGGCTCTCCGCCGCCAAGATGAGCCCTTTGGTGATAGCTGATGAGGAACCTCTTGAACAAGGTAGGGTTATTCCAAGGCCGTGGTGCACAGGCTACATATGTTGGAGTACACTGCGGAGACTCGGCAAGCACAAGGCTGGAAACAGGAAATGCTATCATTTTGTGATCTTCATGGCTGAGCGAACGAGGTGCGGCCTCTCAATCGAGGGACCTCAAACACAGGCATTGGAAAGAGCATTAGGTTGGTTGAGCGCTCTTACCCCCAGCGTTCGTGTATTTGTTTCATGCGCGCCGTGCGTCTCGTAAGATTGTTGAGAGTTCCATTGTACACATCCAGTCCATGGATTACCTTTTCGACATCTGCCGGGCCTGGATCTCGATGCTAGCCAACAGCTGCCAGTGAAGCCGAGTTGTGCTGCATCCCTACGTTCCTTGTCCCTTGCGGCATGCGACGGGAAGCGCGGCGGCTGAGTCGTAGTGATGGGCAGTGGCCGGCATGAGTCGGGTCTGGTGGGCTGGACCTTGCTTGGAGAAACATCCTAGGCTGACCGCTGAGCACGCTGCAGCGATGGCACGGGCGGATACTCCCTCGCCCTCGTACCCTCGCCCTTGTACTCGGAAACCATCCACCCGCAGGTCAAGCGCCTGACAACCTCCTCGGGCTCAGATTGTGGAGGACCTTCACGTGATCTTTTGTTGATATCGGTGATGTCAGCCAAGGAACACCAGCGAATTAAGGCTGTTGGGCAAGATCGATCACAGGCGAGAGACCCCTGCCCCTGGACGGGAACTTGCATCGTTACAGAGAAAAAAGCATGGATTGAATTTAGAGCCCGAGATAGCTCCTAAACCTTCTCTTACACCTGTCAGCACATACCTACACGAGACACTGCCGGCCATGAGGCTATCCAGGCTTCAGCACACGACTTCACAATCGGCCAGAAAAAGCACAGTAAATATCCGGCTACGTTCCCCAGATACCGACAGGCCAGAACCTACTCACTCGGAAAGCAACTGACAAGACATCTGGAACTTTATCTAGGAAGCTGGCTCCACTTTGATCATCAGTTTCTATAGTTTCGCACTCGCGCTGCTTCCTTGATTCCCATACAGTCAACGCCACACTGTTTTGTCGTTCAGGACCACTCGTGTCAACAGAGCGGATGTGCACCGAGCAAGCCGCTCGAGTCGCGGAGCGGATGTGCACCGAGCAAGCCACTCGAGTCGCGGAGTCGGCCCTTTTCAAGTTCCACGTGGAACGGTCAAGCCACAAGCCTGACTCAAGGCGCCCTGAAACAAATCGGCGACCCGGCTGAGCGCCGTGACTGTCAATCATCGTTCCGCACGCTTCTCCACACATTCTACCGCCGCGTCGAATGGGAGCAATCGGCCCTTCTTCCCAATGCGTTTCGAAAACACCATACATCTTCGAGGCCGCTCCCCGATACATCGCAAAACTGACATTGTAGTCCCACCGCATCCGTGCTCTGAGAAATCCGCCCGCAGTGGGTTAGCTACATCGAAATGCCGACCCTTTCAGCACTTCTTGCTTTCCTTAGCATATAATACGACTGTTCTTCATTTTTATATGTTCTTCTCCGTTCGTTCATCAATACTGCCATCCGCTCGCTATCATTGCCATTCCTACTCGCATACACATCATTGATTCGCTCCTTGCTCTGCCACTACTACTACTGCTACTACTATTACTAATATTACTACATTATTACATTCTTCGACGTTACCATCTCTGCGAAAGACACTCGGTACCGGCCTAGCACGAACGCCAAATGTCTGACGAACGTGCATCCTCTCGCAAGCCTTCTCCTACTTTGTACGACTGCCTTGGAGTACGGAACGAAGAGTTTACTGGCAACCTGGATAACATACACCTCACTCACGAGCAAAACATCCCAACACCTAACCATGACATCAAACGAGAAGCGCCGACACCAGTGGAGCCTTCCGGCACTGTGAATGAAGACGAAGCTATACGATTCTTGCTTCAAAGTCTGAGACCTGAGCAAATTGTACAATATGTCAAAATCCACAAAGTTTCGAAGGACGCTGGCAATCACGCGGCTCTTGACGTTATTTCAGGTGTCCATACGGATGACCTGCTATGGAGGATTTATACTGTCGGTCAGTATCCATAAGTGAACCGCGCGGTCAAGCTAACCCGGATCAGAAGCCCATCTAATGTCGACCGGACCCGTACCCTCATTCAGACCTACGTTTGCAGTCCTACATGCACGCACGAAGCTCAAGAACGAGCTATCGGAGAAATTCGACGAGAAGTCAGTCTCTTCTCCCCAAGGCGCCAGATGCGCGCGCACGACGTTCACGGAAGAGGAGCCCGAACCTATCAACACATCAGGACCTGCAGACTTCTCGGACACTACGGGTCCACCGAGGCCTGTGAGGGCCCATCGAAGAGGCTGTCCAGGCAACCATTGGAACTGCAAACCTGCGGAGCTGAAGCCAAGGACATACTGGACTTCTTTCAAAAAGTTCCGGGAGCACTACAAGATACATATGGAAGATCATCGTGTCGATGGCCATCGTTGGCAATGTTGTCTATGCGATCACGATTCATTTGGGGGCAACGGACATGACCTCGCGCAACATTTGTGGGACGCTCACTTCAAGTAGAGGACATTTCTAGCATCACGGAGGTGGCGTCGATGATACGATCTCACAAACTTCATGGTACCCTTTATCATTTTAATTCACGAGCAAGATTTTACTTTCTCCAGAGACCTTCCAGGAAAGATGACTCAATGGCAGTGGAAACGAAATACCAATTGGACAACAACAATGACTCAGCTATCACATCTCGATGTCGTGAACAATACTCCACTCCACCGAGAAGCGCGGTAACCTCTTACATCGATTGGTTAAAGCCAGGTTGTGCTAATACGGCTTGAGTGCTGTCGCAGCCCATGAAGAACGGGTCTCAGTAACCATATAGCGCATCATGACCCATCAGCAATGCTACCATGTCTACTTATATGATGTATGAAGGAATCTAGCTCTGGTGATTACAAACTTGCTGTCGTCGTCATGGACGGGTACACCTCTCCGAACGTCGCACAGATCGTCTGTACGTGGGCAGGCGAGAGGGCAAATTCGCAAGTCTTACGCAAGATGACCATCATGAGGGACGGAGGATTGTTTCTAGCAAGACTACGACCGCCATGGCCATGTGAGGGTACATAGGCAACGTACTAGAATGAGATAATATCTACGATCCTAAGTTGGGCAATGCGGCGATCAAGAGGAAGCCTAAAAGCGTCAAGACCATGGTCACTACTAGAACTGCTACTGGATGTTCTGCACGTATCGCTTGTGCGAGGCTTTTCGGGCGGCCGAAGACCGCAGAAGGAAATGTTTGGTCATGTGCGGACGAGGAATGCCCAGTTGGGGCGAGAGATTGGATAGTATGGGCGGGCCGTGATTGACACCTCAGCCCGCTGCGATGGAATAAGGGGTATCATCGCGTTACGATTGCCATCGAAGCCGCTGCAAGTGAGACATACAGCACACCACTCAAAAGAACCGCATCATGCCATTCACTAGTTGCATAATCGCACAAAGTTGTTCTGCAGAAAAAGAACGGCAGAAGAGCGGCTACGTCAGGTATCGTTCGCGACTTAATCGCCCGAGTGCCCCCTGCGCCCTGCGCCGGCTAAACGCTCTGTGACCAGCTACACCAAGCCCACGAGTCATTTCCTAGATCCATCAGATGCTCAACGTGTCGCATACATCAATATCGCTCAAAGAATCGTGCGTCGCCTACTATTTTACGAAGCTTTGTTAATCATTGTGACAAATGTAATTTAATAGCCGCGAAGCAAACATGCAGAACATGCAAGGCGATCTTGCAGCAGCTTGGGTGGGAGTAAGCCACAAGCCCGGTGCGTGCTAACGGCGCCTGGGCGGGTTCCTCGTGAAAATGATGCCGAACGGTCGGTGCCTCCCACACGGCTCGTGCATCTTCTATAATTTTGTTTTTCAACGGTAGTGTGGCCTGTGTGGTGAGTGCCTGCCGATAGACTAATGAGAACACCATGAGTTCAACTCATTGGTGTCCTACTCACTCATTTTTGCGTCACACGGCTGGCCACCGCTGCTGGCAGGGTTGCGCACCATGCACAGCGTTGATTTTGCTCTGGCCAGTGGTCAGCAAACCAGTCGCGTCGCCAGCCATCGAGCCGCACACGCTGCGTAAGTCTTAATACGGTAGGCAAAATAAAGGCGCCAGCCCAATGCATCCTCTTTCGCCAGGCAACAGAGGTCCAACACCCCTCGCGTGGTTGTCGTGCTACGTCGTCGGTTCAGTCGTAGCCAACAAGCTACCCATTCCCCCTGTACATGTTTCAGTACTCACGCAGCGCACCAGTCGTTATCTTTACACATACGCCGCAAAACTAATTCCAGCGAAAGAGCTTTCCCAGATGAACTACATTTGGTGACAATATGGAGCAGATCTAAAGAACTTTCGAAGCTGTTGTGTACCGAGTCTGTATCACCATGTGTCTATGATGACCCAAGGTCGTCTTTGCTTCTTATCGTCATTGCCTGGTCCTCGGTTTTTCTTGTTTTGGAAGGGCGAGAGAGAGAGTACTTTTCTTTTATCCTCAAGCTCCGTTCTAGCTCGCACACCGCACGTGCGCGACAATGCCGCAGGACCACAAGGCGCGTGAGCGGCCTTGCTCTGCCTTATGCCCAGAATCAGTTCAGCCGTACAAAGCAATTGATATTTAGCCTGCCCACCGAATACGAGCTGCAACCTGGCGACACTCACCGCTACTACCCCTATGGCGATGTTTACCTACATTTCCCAATCTGACCCTGCGCAGACGGGATCTGTAACCGCGGAGGCGTAATTGGCTGCCGTTGACACCACGTACTTCCTTCTCGAAATCAGAAAGTACGATCTTTGAGACAAGATGCAGTTCACTCAGTGCACCGGAAATGAGGCTTGTGTGATTGCAGTCTTCCCACAGACGATTGAAGTGATTCTTGATTTGAGGCTGCTAAACTACAAAATGATCTTATGAAAAGACAGTAGACTTGACATACTGCTGTTTTCATTCTTTTATTAGGATGTCTCGATGGAGCTGACTGCGGTATAGGGGAGTGTTTGGAATTCCGCGCATGGATGGCCGAACCCGATACACCACCACTGCGAGCATCCTACAAATAAGGGATATTGTTGTTACTGGATCAAGCCAAAGAGACTAGGGTTGGAAGCAGCCAAAACATGGTTGGATCACTGACAGGGACTATCGCGCTCGAATGCAACACCGTTCCGGCAGCAGCAAAACTTGAAGGATGAACTACTCCCCTTGTTGCGCGGCACATGTGTGTGCGTTGTCAGAGTAGGCATGCGAGACATAATGTGGCGTCGAAAGCCCAACGCTGGGCTGCTAAAAAGAAAGCAAAAGTGGCTTGTTCCGAACGCAAACCCTGAAGCGAAGAAGGCTGACTGACGCATGGGGTAGGGTTTCGTCGGAGAGCCCGGCGGTCGGCAACTAATTTGCCAATGCGATGTGGCTTGGCGACCGATGGATCCCCCACAATAGAGCCAGTTCCAAACAGCCAACCCTGCCCTCGTGCGCAGCTCTGTGCATCCTAGTGTGGACGCTCGATACTCACTGTCTCAACATGGATACCAAGCAGCTCTTACACTACGTTCGGCGCTCTTCTTCATACTTACTTCGCTGCAGGCGACGGCTCAAGGTAAATCTCACGTTTAAAAAATCGTTCCCAATCTGTGAAACAGACGTCTTGGGTCGCTAACCTGCAATCCGTCGATGCTTGCTTATTGCCCCTGCCCACCGCCCAACATTGTTCAGCCATGCCTGTGGATATTCTTTGACGAAAACCGCAGCTTTTACAGCAACTGCGGAATATTACAATGATGACATGTTTTTGCTTTTCAGCATTGCCATGCTTTTGGTCTCTACGTATATGTTAGAAGCTACAAGACATTCATTCCTTGATCAATATTACCTACGTCAATACTTTCAGCCCGTCTCTATGTCGCCTATACCTTCGTGCTTTAAATCTTCTCAAGCAACATCGAACTTCCTTTTCAACAACGCCTATCGCAGCACATAATTCCCTTAGCACTTCCCGTAGTACTGTGGCCTCTGTCGATGAAATGCCCGACAACACATTTTCCTCGTTTACCGACCTCTATCCTCCCGATCCGACTGCCTTGACACTTTTCGAGATTATCGGGTTACGAGACGATGCGTTCGACGACCATCAGGCTAGCTGTTCGCTTCCAGACCTTGAGCCCACAGCTGTCGCCGACAACTCCTCCCTTCAACAAAGCGAAGACACCCCAAGCGATCGAAGACACAGTGTTCCAGACTCGAAGACGAAGAAACCCAAACGCTACGGCTGCCCAGGCAACAATTGGTTGTGTAAACCCGAGGAGCTGAGGGCCAGGCGAGCTTGGACTTCGTTCAAGAAGTTCAGCACCCATTTGATGATTCATCGAGAAGAGTTTGTAATGTCCGGCGGTCTCAAATGTCTCAGCTGTGAAGGGTCGCCGTCTTCTCCAGGGTCTGACTTCACCAACATCGTATTTCCACCGGGAGGACAAGAACTCGCGAAACACATATGGGAGAAGCATATGACTGTTCAGACCAGGGTGATGGAGCATTAGAGAACTACTGTGAGAGCGGATGACGAACTTGGCGCTGGAGGGTCTTCCGTCACTTGCTATGGCCAATTTAGCAGCACTGGGATTGACTCTCCTTTCTCTGTAAATGATACGTGCCACACCCTTACGGCATCACGATCTGCGTTGCTCGCTATCTATTCCATTGCTATGCTGTGTCTTTGGATCTCATCGTCTTCCCTACTTCACGCATCTAGCCCTCGGAAGACGTTTTGTTTCCCTATTTGCAAACCCCTGTATACTCAATGATTTTTTTTCCTTTTATGGCATATAGTTCGCCTATTGTCTGCTAATACCATTTGGCATATCTCACCCCAGCCCACCTTCTGACAATTCTCAATCGCAAATCTTACACGTACTTTCTCCCCTTCTCAAGTGGTGCAATGACCTTTGCCACCTGTTGAATCGCCAACCTCCCATTTTCGCCGTCCTTGTCTACGTCTCGAAATGCTATGCGCACGTCTTTCAGACACCGCGATCGATCCGACGCGTTGAGGTAAGTCCCTGTTGTCGGAAGCGCTAGGTGAGTACTTTCTCTTGTTGCTAGACTGGAAATGTTCATGAGTATGTCTGGACCGCGTAAGAAGAATGTCCGGAGGTAAAAGGGAATCAGACTAGCCGTGATCATAACAGTCGACGAGATCATGAGGGCGACGACCCAGCCCCAATGGGCTTGAAACACTTCCGTACTACTGCGTTTCGTGCCACTACTCTCCCATGCTCTTGCCAGATAAGCCGTTTCAGCGTTATACGACGCTGCGTAGGCTGTCCTGTTGGTGCCATTGTGCAACACTGTGTAGATTATTCCCGTACTGTTGTTGCGATATGTACCGTTGATGCGAGGTACCTCTGTCAAGTCCTGGCTCGTATCTTGATATTCCCAAGATATGTTCGGGTCTGTCCAGATCGTGACTTCGTTGACGCCACTAGTGAAGACGTTTTTGCCGTTCATTGCTGCCCAGTACGTATTCAGCATTTGTCCGAGTCGTGTCGCAGAGTCGCTGGTAGGGCGTTGTGAAGATAGTGCAAAGCCACTTCTTAAGCCACTTCTTGGGTCCTTTGGATCGTTTAGGTAGCCTCTAGAGAAAAGCTGCGATGACGAGTTAATGGTTTGCTCCCACATCGTCCCATTCAAACCGTAATTAAGACCCAATAGTGTGTAAGCTAGTGGTGGATGCTTGAGGTGAGAACGTCGGATACGCGGCACTGAACAGGTACGGTACGTCGGGCATGAGACAGCAACTTCGACGTATGTTGTCTCGATGGTACAATTTAAAACATCGGAATCTTCCCATGTCAACATGAACGAAAAGGGTTTCAGGTCGTCTTCGTGCATCATAGCCCGTTCCGTAGTGTTTTCACTCCAGGACAGATTACCAAACCAACTTTGATTATGGTTATACTCAAAGTGAAGTCCATCCTGGATTGTGCAGAATTCGCAATTCAGATGGAAGTACATGGCTTCGATCGTGGCTGCATATTCAACAAAGTCTGTTGAGTCTATGCCGCTCATCGGAATTCCAATGAGAGAACTATACGTGTCTTCAGTACCGTTCTCTGTCTTGTACCAGCCTTGGTCATCTGCAGGCGATATCTTCTCATAGTACTGAACTCTAGGAACTTTGATGTGACCCCAGGGATCGCGTGGAGAGCCTTCTTGTGTTGCTGAGCTAAGAAGCGCAGCTGTAAATATGCTATTCAGGTTCGACTCGGTTGTGCCCCCATCAGGTACCCACATCTGAGGACCAGGTGCAACATAAAGATACGTTGTATTTTCGGACGCGTGTCTTGGGCCAAACGTTATCTGCCGAAAGGAGGATTGACCACCCACGGGAGAGAGCATCCAGATGGCGACTAGGCCGAGGCCAACATAGCTGACCCTTCGTAGGTGGACTTGCGAGACAACGGTACTGGTAAGTGATGTGCTACCGGCTAGTGTGTCCAAGACAGCGATACGCTGGCCCGTCTCAAGCCCCCAGAGCATGACTGCATGTGTGGCTCGTCCGACGATCGAAGCAAAAACTATCGGATATATAGTCGGGCCCTAGATCCAGTCAGACGCCTGTTGTCAGAGTTCGACCGTATGCATAGTCACCCATCTTGAAGCTTGCTCGAACCTCTGAGCCGCCTGTGAATGGAACTTCGTAGGTTTCTGATCGTACAAAACGACGGACCAAGCGAAAACGAGGAACGCAACTGCAATGGCCAGCAAGACCACATCAATAGTGACGGACCAGAGGATCGAGCCGAAGGATGTCTTGAGTGGCTGCGGTAATGTTGGCCAACCTCGAGGGAATTCCACATCCTTCTCTTCGAGTGAAGAATTGGGGATTATCTGGTCTTTCAACGAAACAGTGCTCCGGTCTGTGTCGTGTACACTGAGTGTGCAACTATCCGGATATGAGGCCACGGGCTCATCGCGGTAAGAGGATTCAAGCAAGGATACATCGGTGCTCAGCTGTGAGTCGAAAGAAAACCGCTCCTGACTGACAGTAGGACTGCGTTCAATGTCGGGTGTGCTGTACCGATGTTCCTCCAACTGTGTGGGAGTCATGGCAAATGTACCAAGGGAGGAAGAGAAATGCAAGACATGTTCGTACTCCGGGTGCGAGTTAAGGCTAGGCTTTTCACGAGGCTATGTAGTGCCTGTGATGACACCGATCTATACGTTGAGCGAGGGGTGCATTGGAGGGACGGATTGGTTGACCAATATGTCTGTATGGCATGATGTTGTTACACAGCAGCGCCGCTACTGCACTTCCTGTCCAACGAAAAGCTACACAACCTTGGCGAATCCGCATACTCAACTATGAGATCTCAATACAGCCGGATTGAGTCGAGTGTCGGCCCCAATCATAAGTCCTTGCGGCTGCGGTCTATCAACCCTCTTGGCGCCTACCGCCCCCACATAGTCGCGACTCAGCCCTGGCTGTATGTCAAGAAGAGAATCGCTGCATGTCAGCAAGGAGGCTGCGCACTGTGAAGCACTATACATCTTGATATCGCTGCAACAGCATGGTTCGCCAGAAACTCAGGCAGATGGAATATCGAGGTGCCGTAGAATTGGTATTCGTAATCGTACAAAGTACGAGAGTGTGCGAGAGTGGGCGTAGATTCTGTGAATAGGCTGCGGTACGTAAGATGAGACGAGATCCGGCGATGCTTATAGAGCTGTCAAACGTGTGATTATGGTTATGTATGACGTCAGACACGTGCAAGACTTACCCATCATGACTGGACACAACTTCCTTAGTTTTCAATCTCTTTCTTCAAAGAGCGCGCGATATAGGAAGCACTGACTAACAATATCAACATCTGAATGCTTGCACGTTCTGAATGAACACACAGACACACACACACACACACACATCTTCACTCAACAATCAATCGTGAATCGTGAATCGAGAATCAAGAATCAAGAATCGCCATTACTATATCCATTTTTCATCCCACTCCGCTCAGAAGACGGAAACATGAAGGGGGGAAGGAAGAAAAGAACTCCACAAATCTCCCGGTATCAAATTCCCCTTGCAATCTCACATCACCACCGCGCGCTCTCTCTCGCGCGTAGTGACCGTGAAAACAACCTCACGAAAACTGAATCCTGATCTTACACATGCTCCACAAAAACCCCAAATCTCTACCTCTTCCTCTTCTTCGCCTTCCCCTCATCCTCACTCCCACCACCCCCGGCCTCTCTAGCCTCCTTATCCTTCCTCGCAGCCTTCTTATCCAACTCATCCCAGCTCTCGCCCTCACTAAACTCCTCCTCACTCCCCTCATCGCTCATCTCATCACTCGCATTCTCATCAAAGTCGCTCTCCTCACTACTCTCATCCGAAATTGCCAACTCGCTCTCACTAACCTCGAACGCACTCTCCTCTTCCTCGTCGCCATCCCCTTCGTCATCCGACTCGTTGGATAAGAAGCTCCAGCCACCGTCGGCAAAGAACTGGTGTGGATCCGACGTCACCGTCTTCATGATGGTGGCCCAGTTGAGGTTCAAGGGACCCTCGGTAAATGGAATATCGACAGAGTCGAGCCAGTCCTTGACTGGGTCGAGAGATTCGACGGGAATGGTGTTGATGTGGACAGGGGGCCGATTGTAGTCCTTGAACACGACGACCATGTCAAAGTTTCTAAGACCGAATTGCACACGTTCCAGGTGCACGATTTCGATCTCACTGAGCGTGAGACAGGTGAACGGCGGTTCGGTAAGTTGGACAAGACAGTCGGTCGTGGGCTGGACGAGCACGCTGGACCGACTGGGCACACCGTTGAAACCCAACTCACGGTATGGGATATCAACACTGACGTTCTCGTTCCTAGCCGCATCGGCAATCTTCTCGGCAAAGTTTTTGAATTCCTTGTCGAGAGCGGCACGGCGCCTCCGCTCCTCTTGTTCTTGCTCAAACTCCTCTTCGTCGCCGAACTTGTGGCGGCGCTTGCGGTTACCCGTCTCGTCGAACTGCATCTCGGTTGCTTCCCGGACAAACTGGACGTCCTTGGTCTTCTTCTTACCGAGCATGATTGGGTTCTTGAGATGCACGTGGATGATGACAATCAACTCGTGTTGTGAGGGCTGGAAGAAAAGATGCTTCATGTTGCTGAACAGAACGTCGATCTTCGCAGTACCGTTGCCGTGAACGTAGCGCAGACCGTTCTGGTGAATCTCGACACTACCAGGAATACGCTTACCGTCGAGCGCTGGGCGGATGAAGATGAGGTCCAGCATGTGAGGCTTGCGAGTCTTGAGCGGGATGAGCTTGTCTTGTTCAACAACATCCTCCATCTGCTTCTTCTCCGTCTCACGCCGTACGACGTCCTTTTTCAGCTCTGTAATGTCCTTGGTGATCTGGTCGATGCGATCAACGTCGTGCGACTTGAAGGTCAAACTCCGGATGAAGTGTGCGTTGGGGTCCTCAAAGGGCTGGTCGTCTTTTCGGCCCACACCTTGACCTGGCGACAGGAAGTTGATGCGGAGCGATGTGAAGTCTGCTTCGGGCGTGTGCGAAGCATTCTTGATGGTGTGGATGTGGAAGGGTACAGGTCGACCCATGATGGGCAGAAGAACGGTAAGGTTCTTCTTGTCGACTACAATCTCCAAGTTGGCGACTGAGTTGGGGAACTGGTTGTCGCGCTTGTACGACTCAAACTTCTTGAACTTCTTCTCTTCAGTGCCGTTGAGAGACTTTGCGCCTTCGCTGTACTCGGCAAGACCCTGCTCTTGCTTCTTGGCATGCAGCTCTCTCTGATGTTGTCGCCGTTGCTCCTCCTTCTCCGCGTCTTGGTTCGTTGTTCGCTCGTGTCGGGTACGGGTCTTGGTGATGTTTGTCTGTGCAATAGCGGGGCGCTCCTTCTTCACCTTGGGCTTCGCTTCCTCCTCTTCGTCGTCGAAGAAGAACGAGACGGCGTCCAGATCAGAAGTGGTGTCTTTGGTAAAGACTGCGCAGTCAGCCGAGCTAACACGAACAGTGTCTACCAAGACCAGCGAGTAATTTTTGCTCTTCTTGTCTTGGGGTTTGCTGTTCTCCAGATCCGACAGACCAGTCTGAACGACCAGAGTCATGCCGTCCTTTAGGACACGAGTGTTCTTGCCGCTCAAGAGGAGCGAAGAGTCCTTGTTCTCGGTACCGATACCGTAACCAAGGTTCTTGGGGAAGTGCTTCTCCCACTCTGGCTTCTTGGACTTGAGATGTGCCAGGGCCTTGTTGTAGACGTCCTTGGCCACAACACCGTCCTTGATGGATTTGATGACCAAGTCGTGAATCGCCAGAAGCAGCTTGTAGGCAGTCTCCTGTTCCTTGTTGGGTCCTACCATGAATGTTCGGCCGATCATGGCACCGTAGGTCTGGTAGCGCAGGCCGAGGACCGAGATGATGACGCCCGCGTGCAGGTTGTTCTCGTCGGGCTCCGCAGCGAACTTGAGATCGTACGAGCCACCACTCTGGATTGTAGGCTGGAGACACCAGTCGAGCTGCATCGAGTCGAATGTTTTGGAGAGCTTTTGTTTCTCAAAGAACTTGGCGTCGTCGATCTTGTTGGAGACCTTGTCGGCGAGGGCGCGGTGTGAGATCTTCTTCTCCGAGTCGAGGATGTCGGACATTTCTTCGACGAAGTAGTTGGACATGAGGGCGCTCGAGGCGCGGGCAGCATCGCGGATGGTTCGCTGCAGGGTCAGCCAAGCACTATTCTGGTCCGTCGCTCAACTTACCAGCTCCTTCTCGTCCTTGACAGACAAGGCGGCGTTGGACATGATGGAGGCCAGATCGACCTGATCCTCGTCCTTGAAGCCAGCCTCGTCGAATGCCGCCTTCCACTCGTTTGCGAAAGCGTTGTTGGCACTGTCCTTCTTGAGCACCGCAACCTTCTTGCCGGCCTTTTTCATCGTCTCGAGACATGTCTGGAACTGCTTCTTGTTCTCCTCGGCGTCTTTGCCCCGCACAAGAATCTCAACAGGCACCTTGCCACCCTTGAGCGGCTCTAGGTAGGATGCTGCATCGCCGTTAGCAACCACATGCCCTGTTCAGGCCCGGACAAGCATGTCGGACTCACCCTTCTTCTTGGTTGTGACAATCTGGAGGAGGTCGGGGGTAAGGACGAAAAGCGTAGCAGGGAACTCGTAGCCTAGCAGCCATAGCTACGGCGTTTCGTCAGCTCGCTGTCCATCATCACATGCGAATCGGCGCAATCTCACCTGGAATGCCGCTGGCTTCAGGTAGATGCCTGGCTCGCTCGCCTTGCCCACGAGCGTGGCGATTGAGCTTGCGCCCTGGAAAACCTGGTCGCCGGAGCGCTTGTCGGCCTTCCACTTGGTGACGAGGTTGTTGAGGCGCTCGTGGAAGAGCGCCTTGTCGATGACGATGTCGTTGTCCGCCATGTTTGGAGGTGCGCGCAAGAGAACCTCCAGACAAGTCGACTGGGCTGGGAGGAGGGAGGTGGAAGAGAGAAGGCGACGATGGGAAAGTCGCGAAAGGATGATGCGACGCGAGGTACGCGCTCGCGGGCCGTGCGCTCTTTAACTCCACATCGGTGCTAGTGTCACCAATTACCTTGCCAGGTAGCACTCTGTGATAGCATCTTGACGTACATCTGAGAATCCTCTATACAACTGTTTACGCTCTCTTTCTCTTTTGCCCAGTTGTCTTATTGGCTCTTGTCCACCCGGAGCTTGGTCAAAGTCACTCCCACTCACCCTGTGACTAGCCCACGCGGCTGCCTTTGCCAACTTCAACCCTCCAACCCTCCAACACCCCGCCCATGCGCCTGCAGTCCTCACTCACCTCCCATGCTATGCAATGACGGCCGGCTCCAGTCTCCGCGCTGGAGTCTCTCTCCGAAGCGATGCCTCCAATGACACCTCTCCCCCCGAAGCCCCGCAAGCACCCAACAAGGCACCAGCGACAGGTGTCCAGGCTGCCGGTATGCGCGCCGTGGCAGCCAGAATGGTCGCCTTTTACTTCCGAGCACCAGTCAAGGCCTTCTTCCGCGGGAGGATAGATTACATGGGCTATGCGAGGGCCATCAACCCACACGTCATGGCGGATGCGAAGTGGTCGTGGAGAATGACTACGCCCGCCGTGCTGGCGCATGCCATACGGACTGAGGGATGGGGCTTCATTCCGAAGCAGGTGCTGCCACCTCTAATGGCAAACACATGGTATGTATGACGAGTTTCTGGCCCACGCATATTCTCACAGCGCGCAGTATTGGCGCAGTCCTATATACAGCATACCTCCATAGTCTCTCCGCACTTCACGAACCCTCGTCGTACCAAACCAAGCGCGTCTACCCACCACCACCCCCCTCTGTGACCTTCACAGCCGGCTTCATAGGTGGGGGCATCCAATCCGTCATCGCCGCCCCCTTTGATGCCCTGCAAACCCGTTTCCGCACGGCCGACATCCTCGACGGCAAGCACAAGACCATGTGGCACTACGCAGGCCACAAGCTGCGCTCCATCGGCATCCAAGGCATCTTCGCCGGCTGGTCTCTATCCTTTATGAAAGACGCATTCGGCGCCGCCGTCTTCTTCGGCACCTTTGAGACTGTCAAGAGCCAGGCGTACCTCGAGTTCGTGTCGCGGTACTACGGGAGCCGGACGCGCGATACGCTGCTCGAGAAGTCTATACCGTATCTGCAGGAAGACCACGATGACCGCCCCGTCATCAGACCTCACTATATGCTCGAACCCATGTTCCTCCTCTTGGCTGGCGTCTCTGCGTCAATCACGTCTCAGCTCATCCAACACCCTCTTACCGAGATTCAAGACGTGCACTACCGCCGGCTAGAAGCACTGGATTTCCAGGCCCACCAGGACAACAAGCCTAGTCACATTGTACGAAGATACTACCACGCTTACGAGGAGACGTTTGCTCAGTGCAAGATACTAGCCAAGCGAGCTGGTGGCTGGAGAAAATACTTGTACAGGGATTTCTTCATGAGTACGATTAAACAGGTGCCGAGTACGGCGGCTGGCCTCATTGTGTTTGAAATTGTGAGGAGAAAGTACTCGTTTGAGAATGAAGAGGTTATGATTCTGCACGAAGATGCGAGGATCTTGCTGACGTAATAACACTGTCCTAAAGCACAAAGTCTGATGAGGTGTGAGTGTGTGTGTGGTGGAGGTGGCAGAAATGCTTGGCAAGCAGAAAAAAAACTTGCCACAAACTCAACCATCATCACCACAACGAGCAGCATGGCATGGTGTCGACAGAAGCATAAAAAAGAAGAGGAAGCCCGACGTGGGGGTCTGCGAACATGTTAGACGTTGAATCGAACGTTGGATGTTTGGAGCTAACTAACCGAACCCACAACCTTGAGATAACCAATCGAGTCTTTAGGACGTGAAAGCTTAAGAGTCTCACGCTCTACCGATTGAGCTAGCCGGGCGAATGCTGTTGATTGATGGAGCACTGGAGAAATAAAGAGAAGAAAGATTGAGGTTTTTCCTCATTCAACGCGTCGAGCGTTCAGTTTTGCATATGATACCCGGATATAGACTGCCAAGACTTATAGACTATGAATATTTTTTTTTGGTCCCATGTACCCGGATTGTTGTGTGTGTATATATGTATATAAACAAATCGTACTACACTCGTAATAATTTCTCTTCCAAAGTATGCTTAACCAAGTGCGCACACACTCAACGATACAAACTTTCCACGTGTAAATCTCCATGCCCTCTGTTTGCCTTCCCACTTCCCTCCTTCCCCTTACTGCCTCTCCGCCTCCTCCGTCTTCTCTTTCAATCTCGCTCCCACGCCCCACATTTCTAGACCTAGGATCCACCAGACAAAGCTCCGGCCCACATGCCATGACCCGTGGGAGAACTGGTATTGTCGAGTCCTAACAACATGGCTTTGTTAGTTCGATTTCCTCACCTCATATGATGGGGAAAGGAAAGAAAAAGAGAAAGAAAAAAGGTTCTTACAAACTCACACGAAGCAGAAGAAGATGGATCCGATGATGAGCCAGCACAAGGCGCCGAGGAAACGGGTTTGCGAGGAGGAGGAGAGGATGGTGAATGCGGTAGCTGTTGTTGCGTGAGATGATGCGGAAGAAGAAGAGGGAGAAGTGTGATTATTCTCGTCCCCATTACCAGACGATACAACACTGCGCCAACAACCCAGTCCAACAGTCACGCCAAGTCTCGTCGTAAGACCATTCTCTGCTGTCGATGTTGACGTGCTTAGTTGCGGACACTCTGGGTCCCAGATGATTGGTGAGTTGAGCTGTGGTGCTAGACGTTTTTGAAACATGATTAGTTATATACTTCGCGCATGGTGGGGTGCAGATGCGTACCTGTTCCTGTTGGTGCGGGAGGGGGTGTGGGAAGTGGTGCTGTTGCTTGAGGGGTGGCGGAGGGGAAGATGAAGGATACGCCTGGAGGTAGGGATGGGATGGGAGATGTTGTGTTTGGGGACTCGGGTTTGGGTTTCGTTTTCGGGGGTGTGGATGTGTCTGCGTTGGACGTAGCGGATGGGCTGGTGGACTTGGGCTTCTTGGAGGAAGGTGTGGATGTGTCGTTGTCGGGCTGGTCGGCATCGTCGTCGGCTGGAGCATCGTCGTCGTCGTCGTCGTCCTTGGTTGAAGTGTCTTGATCCGCGTTGTTAGTAGGTGTAGCTTCTTCGTCTTCTGTAGGTTTCTTCTTCGTGGATGTAGGTTCTTCGTTGGCGTCTGCAGATACGCTCGTAGTCGGTGCGGTATTCTCATCATCCGTAGACGTAGGCTCCTCATTTCCACCCCCGTCTTCATTCACCGCCTCATCAGGCTCAGTCTCTTCGCCAACCACCGTCTCCTCATCTAGCTCAGCGCCTTCTTCCTTTTCGCTACTTCCGTCTTCTACAAGGCCATTTTCGTCCTCGTCACCACCGCCCTGCTGTTTAACCGCCAACTTCGTAGCAATAACCGCATCCTCTGCTCCTTTCCCCTCCGTACTAACCCTGGTAGGTTTCTCAACCCCTCCGTCCCCCTCATCATCAACAGCTATATCGAAAAACGTTTTCTTTTCCTGCCCAGCATTCTCAGCCGACCCGCTCCTCCCTATCCTTGCATCAAACCCACCCGTCAACCATCCCCGACCATCTCGACGCCACCACACAAACGGCGACCCATACCGCCTCACCCCCGCGTTCCTCGACGCTGTCGCAGAAGCTATACCAGAGTTGTATAGCCGAGGAGTCGAAACAGTACCACTAGTCCCCATCCAGCTATAATCAGACGTATACTGCATACTCCCATCCCGCGTCAATTCAGCTGCACGTCTAGCTCCACCAGCCTGCTTCGTCGCTATGGATGCAGCCCGCCCCCCTAGCCTCATAGCTCCGTTCACAGAGGTAGTGGTCGTGATGGGATCTTTCTCCGTACCATCTGCTGTCGATGCGGTGTCCTCAGCGGTTTTGATGTATTCGCTGATGTAGGGGTACCATGTGTTCATGCTTGACATTGTGAAGACGTTTTCTTTGCTGCTGGTCTGTGTTGCGCCGGTAGGAAGGGCGAGGGGTGTGGCTTTTGGCGATGGGGTGAGTTCTGGATCCGCGGAGGTTTCTTTGGGCTCCTTGGCCGAGGAGGTTTTGGATTTGGTCTTGGGGGGTTGAGAGGTGCTCGTGTCTGGGTCAGAGATGTCAGTGATTGTGGATCCTGTTCTCGTGGGAGTGGGTAGCGATGAGCGTGTTTCTAATGTATCTTCGTCGGGTTCGCTTGCGGAGGACTTTGTCCTGGACTTGCTGAGTACTTCGGTTGCTGGTGCTGGGGCGATAGATTCAGTGTCTAAAGATATCGCTGAAGTAGATGATCTCTTCTTAGACTTGGATGTCTCTGAACCATCGCTAGTTTCGTCATTATGCGAGCTTCGAGTCTTTGTTGCGGAGGACGTGTCAGTCTCTGAAGCTGATGCCTGGGAAGACGTATGTTTGGACAAAGTTGATGTGCTCCCCAATGTTTTCTCAGTAATCGAAACCTTTGTCATCTTTTCCTTTGTAGACAAGGCTGTTGTTGTTAAATCTGCAGTTGCTTTACTATTTTTCGAGTCATCTATATCCTCTACTTTCCTAAACTCGAGGCAGAAACCAGCAGCTGCCTCTCCGTGAACCGGTATAGTGACCGTTTTCGTAGCATCTAGAACAACAAGGTGTAGTTCACGTGTCTTTGGAGGGTTTTGCTCTACTTGGTTTTCGCAGAATTCGTAGGTTGTACTGTTGGACATGTACACTGAGATATAGCCTTCAGGCGCAAGGTCAACTCTGAGATTGTAGAGGTTGTTGCTTCGCTTGTCGACGGTGTGGAATTCGTAATTTAGGCTATGATCGAGCTTGGTGGCATCGGTCAAAGATGCGGGTCGGTCTCTGCGTGTATCCGAGATGACAGACTCGCCAGTCACAGATCCTCGGGAGACCTTGGGCTTCTCACCGCTTAGGGTTTCCAGCCTGAGGTATTCTGTTGATACAGATGAGGCTAAGCGATAATGCTCACGCTCAGAGACCCGCTCGATGGAAAAACTGGTGGATTCGTTGGACATCGTCCTCTTGCTCCTACCAATATCGCTATCGTAGCTCGTGTGCAGTCGTCGTACTTCTGTATGATAGGATGTTTTTGTTATCGTCGGTGTCGTACGGCCCTTGTCCTCGACGGCAGCTGCCAGAGCTAGGTCAAAGGCAAGAGCACATGTGCTCGATGACAGGGTCAGTATATTCGGAAGGAGTTTCATGTTTATGCCGTTTTACGGTGGTTTACAGAAAAGACAACCGACTATGGAGGAACAATGACATGAGTATTCTAACTGTGGTGACGATGCATGCTCATTGATTGACGAGATCCGGGTGACATGTAGCTATTCGGAAGCATAGGATCGTGGAATGAACGACGGAAGATCAATAAAATCTATCAGATTAGCTGTGAAGACAGAGTGTACTTTCGAGGTCCTTGACGATGACGCCGTCCGCTTCCCATTCTCTCACGCGCACATCGCATCTCGCCTAGTCGGTCAATACCACGGCTCTTCACAACGACCGTGGTGTGATTTGCTGTAGCCGCCAGAGTGCAAGAATCATTCACAGTCTTTGGAATAACGATTGATCTCGTGTTTATGCGGCACACCAGACTCCAAATGAAGGAAGACCTTCTAGTTCACCACAGTAGAGGTAGAGACGAGAGCTTCATCAGATGCGCAAGCTCTACTAAGCAACGACTCCGCTCCATCTAAGCCTCGTCATGGGGGAGACTGTGCTGTCGTGCTTACTCTTACCCAAATCTCATGTTACGGCGGCACTCAGAACAACCATCTCAGATAATATCTACTGAACACCATAAGCCTCGTTTAAAACGCGCAGCGCTTTAGCGTGCGCGTTCAATCGCAACTCGACATGGAGTGACGACTTTCCTAGCTCGCCTGACTACGCGTCAAAATTACGCGTTTACTCCTGACTGGAGTTACCTCGGCCAATCTCGGAGGCCACGAAAGTAAGCATGTACAAACATGCTCTGGGGATCAAAGTACGTAGTGGGGATTACGAAACACTTACGTACGGTTCTTTGTATAGCACAGGAGGGCCGCACTATGTAGATAAGCCAAGAGTTACTTATATACCTTATACTGTGGACCTTCTACCAAGCATCGATTCTGTGTCCTGGCATTACGAACAATGCGTTTCTCTTTATCCACTTTGCTCTTGGCTGTCGTGCCCAAAGTCCTTGGCGACAAGCATTACTTCTTTTCTGGATTCTTCGCGGGGAATGTGATTGCAGGTGTAGAATTTGATGATTCGACGAATGACCTGACGCTCGTGAACAACATCACCGTAAACGCATCAGAGGGCTCGAAATGGATAGCTATCGATGTACGAGCCCAACTATTTTCACTAAAACCATCAACAAGTCTAACACCAACAGGAACGCAAAAAGAATGTCTACGTCGCAACGACCGGCCAAATCCAAAGCTACGCCATAACGTCAAACCGCAGCCTCACATCCACGAGCAACATAACCCTCTCCTCCTCCTGTCAGCTACCTATACTCCCTCGCAACAAACCCATCTAACAGTGAAATCTAGGCCAGAATGCAAACTACATAGCCACTACAAACGCTTCTCCCTACACTGTCTTCGGCGTCGCCTACAGCACCGGCTGCGCCGCCCAAGCCCTCGCCGTCGACTCCACCGGCGCTCTCACCGCTGCCACCGCAAATCTAACTTACAACAGCACCTCTGGCGTCCATGGGCTTGACATCAGCCCAGATGCTGCATTCGTGTACTCTGCCGATGATATGGGCAATGCCGTCTGGGCGCATTCGTACGACAGAGAGACCAAGACCGCGCAGACACTGCAGTATCTAGCTGCGCCCGAGGGTGCAAATCCGAGGCATTTAGCTGCACATCCGAATGGGGGCTGGGTGTATGTCATTTACGAAGAGGCGAACTCATTGGCGGTGTACAAGAGAGATGATAAGACAGGATTGTTGACGGACGAGAAAACGACGTTTTCGCTGTTGCCGGCTGGTATGTTTATCCTTTTTCCTTGCTGTAAGATTAGAGATTGCATATGTACTAACGCACCGCTACCCAGGTTTCACAAACACATCCTCCTACTGGGCCGATGAGGTCAAATTCTCCATCCCCACCTCAAATTATAGCAACACCACCACCACTTCCTCCCTTGCCAATTTCACCGCCCCCACCCAACCGAGATACCTTATAACCGGCACCCGCTCGCGCTCCTCCAACGCCACTGGCTATGTCTCGGCCTTTGCCCTCGACGCCTCCACTGGCGCCATAACATCCCAGCTCTTCCTCCTACCCACGACGGCCAGTGGCGGATCCGCGAATGCGGTGTCGCCAGCGCTATTTGGAGAGGAGTATTTTGCTATTACAGATAGTGGGGCAAATTTTGTCGAGGTGTGGAAGATTGAAAGGGAAGGGACGGGGGCGAGCGCGGTGGCGCGTTTAGGGTTTGAAAGTGGGCCGGCGAATGTGGTGTGGATGGACTAGCGGTGTTTGAGGATCGAAGGATAGTTGGGGTACAAGGTAACTACTCGGGCCCAACGGCTGCCGGGGCAGAATTTCAATAAAATTTACTCTACATAGAACACATATTCTCAAGGCTCAGGAAGTAAAGGCTGGGTCTCCGCGGCAGTATTGTCCCTGTTGATTCGTCGGGCTGAGTCGTCTTTGTCAGTACCCAAGCGCCTAATACTGTTGAACACACGTGGAGATAATAGCGCAAGGCTACCGAGAGGTATGGCCAGTCCGTGTACGACCTGAAGTCTTGATTAATTGATCGGTATCACTGTGTCGAGGATTTCACTTACGACGCTAGAAATCACGAGAAACCATACTGTGACCAGGGTCACTTGAGCCAACGCGATACAGTCCTCCCGTTCTGGATGTTCGAGTTGGATGCGGAGCAGAAAGTCCTGGGTGACATACAGATAGAAGATAGCGCTTATGCCGATTGGGCCAAAGAAGCCCATGATAAGCGCGTGGCGGACGTTGCGGATTTGAGGAATCTGTTTTTGGAGAGCGATTATGACTGGTAGGCGACGAAGGAGAAGAACCAGAATACCGAGCAGAATCAGTCGAGAGCTTGGTATGACGTCCCCAGAAAAGAACTTTTCCCACGGACACACTGCGCCAAGCCACATGAACACAGCCACGTTGAGGAGGAAGTCCATGATAGGCTGAAGGGAATCATGCTCTGTCTGCTCGCGGAACCAATCACTAGAATCATGTCAGCCGAGAGCTGTAGATTGGATAGGAGGCTCAGAAAAGCTCTTACTCCCAGGTGAAGGTGTTTCCCGCTACGAAGCAGGCCAATACATCGTCCGCATCGATGAGTCCGACAGTACCTATGATCAAGAGCTGTAGAAAGATCAGCAATCGAGTGGTAGCTCTCCATTGTGTAGAAAGATTGGCTTACAGCTAGAGCTATGGCAAATAGGTGGAGGCTTTCTTTATCGACCATGCGTCTTCTGTCTGCCCAGAAGAGCAGATGTTTCGCCGCCCAGCCTGCAACAGCGCCATAAACAACGCTTAGCAAGATGGTGTACAAGCAAGTCACGCTCAGAAAGGAGGTCACCGCCGTTGATATTCCACCTTCTTGACCAGCGAATTTGACCAGATATAGCGGGAGGAAGAGGAAAAGGTAGCCAAGACCGTCATTGGCGCCTGATTCTGCAATAATTATCTTTTGAAGTGGTCTCGACATGTGCTTGTCAGCAAATGTTCCCTTCACAATTGAATTCGAAAGTACAGGATCAGTTGGCGTCACGCAAGCACCGACGATAAGGCTCTGGACCAGACCGAGGTCTGGCACGAGTTGCCATACCAGAAAGCTGGTAATGACCCACATACCCAACATTCCAGGGCCGAGCAAGATGGCCAGGCTCCGCCATTCTGTCTTGAGATACCTGCTGGGCAGCTGTATTCCAGCTATAACAAGTTGTATTCCCAGCACGAGGCGCGTAAAGCAAAGGGTAACAGTAGCGAGCGCTTCTGGAGAGCTGGCGTATTCATGTGGGCGGATGAGACGAATACCGTATGGCGATAAGAAAACTCCGGCGCAGAGAGACACAACTGGCCATAGAAGTCAACATGACAGGAAACTGAGTTCCTGAGGTGTAGGTGCACATACGTGGTTCTGTCACATAAAATCCCTCCTTCAGAAGATATGAAACCAGTCCAAAGAGAGCAATGAAGCCGCCGCCGACGCAGCAAACCAAGTTGAAATTTAGTATGGGATCAATGCTCTTATTGACCATGTTGTCGTAGAGGACGGCCAGGCTGCCGACGTATACTGCTTGCTGTCCTGCAGAGCTTCCGAGGCGCGATCCGTTTGCTTGAGTCGAGCAGAAGTTTTGGACCACGCTGCATCAAAATTGCGTCTATCTGGGTGAGGGGCTTGTCAAGACGAGACGGCGGGGGTGTGCGAGTGTGGGCTTCACAAGCTTCTTCGACTGTTCTCATGCAACGATTGCGAGGACTGAGCTTACCATCTAGTACAAGGTTGTCCGCGAGCTTGCCTAGCAGCAGCGTGAAGCAGCTGTTGTAAAGTGTCGAGAGAGAAGAACCGGGGACTATATGTGCCGCTCGTCAACAGACGGACTGCACCTTCAGCGGTGTGGGTCATCGGCTGTTGGTAAGCCGACGCGTGATGAGAGCACGAGCCCCAGCCAGGTCATGCACTACGCTTATCGTGGTCATTAGTCTGGGGGATTGGTACCGTGCCCGTGCTCCTATCAATGCTAACTAGCTGTCACGAGGTTAACCTCCCCCCGCTAGGATGTTGAGTAGTTTTGAAAGGCAGCGGGGGTTAGGGTAGTGGTAGCTCCTCGTTGACTGCGCACGGACTGCATGTCTTTACTTAGTCAGCTAGCTCGGTGGATTCTGCAGCGGAACCCGAACATCGGCAGCCACCTACCCAGTCCTTTTCAGCGCTTCACAAGACAGCTGCGCACACAACCACACAAAAGATGCGCCGCGATACGGGATAAGATGTCTTGCGTATCTGTATGGAAAGTCATCTTCTCGGCCAGTATGCTGCTATACGCCGATGCCGCGCGCGATGGCTTCCAAATCGCAACGATAGACCCCTCAATTCAGTCCGAAGCAAGTGCCGAGATGGCTACCTGCTGCGATACACGGTGATACATGATACTTGACACCACTATGCTTCCGCGACACTTCTTCTCGGCTCCTCTTCTTGTTTCCAATAGAAATCCATCATTTCACGTCTCTACACGCACCATGGCTCCGCTACCTATCAAGCTCGCCGTCCTCGATGACTACCATAACATAGCAGCTTCGCACTTCACCCACATCGATCCCTCCAAAGTCGACGTCACCGTCTTCAACGACACCTTACCCTCCTACTCGCACCCCGGAACTTCCGATGCCGACCGCAAAGCCCTCGTCAACCGCCTCAAGTCCTTCTCCGCCTTGTCAACCATGCGCGAACGCACTCCCTTCCCAGGCGAACTACTCCGTCAATTACCAAACCTCAAGGTCATATTCGCTACGGGTGGCAAGTTTGAAAGCTGGGATCTGGATACGATGAAGGACATGGGTCTCACGGTATGCGCAGCGCCCGGCAAGGGCAGAACGGATGGCAGAGGCAGTGGCACGTCTCCGAGATCTTTGCCCATCAAGCAGGGCGGTGGACACCCGACAACGCAGCATGTTTGGGCGCTTATATTGGGCCTTGCGCGGAATATCGCTGCAGATGACGCCGTGGTCAAGGGGAAAGGTGGGCCAGCGGGGTGGCAGACTGAACTCGCCATGGGCTTGCAGGGAAAGACGCTGGGTTTGGTTGGTCTAGGCAGAATCGGCGCGCATGTCGCGAGAGTGGGTGTCCTTGCTTTTGGCATGAAGATCGTGTGTTGGAGCGCGAACTTGACGCAGGAGAAGGCTGATGAGTTGGCGGGGGAATGCGGATTACCGGTGACGGGTGGAGGTATCGCCAGCGAGGACGAGAAGACGTTCAGGGTAGTTACCAAAGAGCAGCTTTTTAGGTCCGCCGATGTGGTCAGCGTGCACTATGTTCTTAGCGAGCGCTCGAGGGGTATTGTTGGCGCACGGGAGCTGGAATGGATGAAAGCGACTGGAATTTTGATCAATACTTCTCGTGGACCACTCGTGGATGAGGCCGCGTTGCTGGAAACGCTCCGGCAAGGACGCATACGTGGCGCTGCGCTCGATGTGTTTGATATCGAACCTCTTCCTGCTGATAGCCCGTGGCGGAGCGAGGACTGGGATGTCAAGGGCAAGAGCAGGGTGTTGCTGACGCCGCACATGGGATATGTTGAAGAAGGTACCTTGACGACGTGGTATGAAGAGACGGCAGAGAACCTGGAGAGATTGATTGAGGGCAAAGAACTATTGCATCGGATCATCTAGTGCTGATGCAAACAGGCTGATGTCCAAGTCGTATCTAGGGTTTAGAATAGGCATTCGCATTTAATCTGTCGACTGACCTTCGTTCTCCACTTCGCGGTCTATCCCACCCTCTCATTTCTATTTGTTATACCCCTCATCTATCCCCTTGGTTGACGAGCGGGATCGGAAGATGTTGATTAAGGGCAGAGAATTATTGTGTCGAACCAGTCAATGCTTACGATATATCTAAATGGCTAAGCCGAATTTTGGTTTCAGATACCACCCATACTGTACAGGTGTTGGACTGTATGGAGACACTATCACGAGGATTTCAAGGCATCTTCTTAGCACAGCTAAGGTAATAAGAATCTACAGGTGTTGTACAGTTGTATTCTGGTCACCAGAAGAGTGTGATCGTGCCTCTTTCGGCTGCTAATGTACAATATGCCGACTGCCGCCCCACCCCACAAGACTTGTTGTCTAGTAATCCTGACGATTGGATAGACGGGTTCTGGGTGCTCTGGAGCAGGCGGTGCAGACCTTCACTTCGGTGTGTCGGTGGGTAGGTTGTCCAAGTCGTGATTAGTGAGATAAGCGTGTTGGGTGGGAGGTCTCGGCACACAAGCAGTCTCAGCACGTCCCAATGCATTTGTCGTGTCGGTTCTCTCCCAACAGCCACCTCACAAGGTTAGCTGTTTAGTTACCCTAGAGATTGGGTATGTAGGTTCTGGGCGCTCTGGAGCAGGCGGTGCAGACCTTCACTTCGGTGTGTCGGTGGGTAGGTTGTCCAAGTCGTGATTAGTGAGATAAGCGTGTTGGGTGGGAGGTCTCGGCACACAAGCAGTCTCAGCACGTCCCAATGCATTTGTCGTGTCGGTTCTCTCCCAACAGCCACCTCACAAGGTTAGCTGTTTAGTTACCCTAGAGATTGGGTATGTAGGTTCTGGGCGCTCTGGAGCAGGCGGTCTAGGCTCTCGAACATTGGGCGGAACAGCGGGCATTGTGAGCACCGGCTTTCGTCGTTTATGGAATGGAGCTTCACCGACATTGCTGTGTGCGCTATCTCCGCCATCGACCTCGGCCGGCTCTGTCATTGAAGCGTAAGTTTCCAGACCCATGACAGATATGGATGCGGGGGGCCTACCATGTCAATGCGACGCTCCTTATTCTCTTCACCACCGACTCGGCAGAACTCGCTTGATAACTTCGTGGCCATAGGCCCGAGTTAAGGCGAAGTCGTCAAGGTTATCTTGCTCGCGCAGTCAGGGCGTTCAGAGAAGTTCGTATCCGAGCTCGGAGGGGAAGGAAGGCCCAAATCTCGACGTTTAGCTTGCTTATGCGGAGGGGCTCCTGTATATTCCATTTAGCTACGTTTCAAGCTGGGCAAGGTCGTTATATCCGTCCGGAGGGTGCTCGGCGGATCAGAGGGAAGCCGAACTTCAAACGTCGCTGTCCACGCTTGCCGCAAAGTGAATGGGATTTCCCATCGGAGGGGGTATGTCGAGGACTGCACGTCCCGGTCTAGTGGGTAGAGCGAACTGTGAAAAGCTACACTGAACATGTCAACAAAAAGGAATAACACTGAGGCCAAATCTTCTAAAGAATACCTAAAGTAAACCAATGTTTGGACAAGGCGATAGAACAGTATGTGTTATAGCATGAACTGCTGACGCGAGACAGTGTCTGCGCCTTTGTCGGTGTAGTAGATTGTAAGAGTCATTGTTCTCCAGGCCGTGCGAAGCGCATCTTCGTTCTGCTCATTGTCGGATAGCTGGAAGTTCCATCCGGCTATGGCGGTTTTGAGATCCGCTACTGTGATGAACGTCAACTCGTCATAAAGGTTGCGTCTGGGCACCTTGGCCTGGTTGAGGGGCGATTTCACCGTCGATGGGCGAGATGTCAGGGGTGGGTAACATCGTCTCTTTCGCCCGTTTGCTTGGGCTTTCGGAGACGGAACTCGCTGATACGATTCTCTTTGCTGGTTATGCGTTTGATGTTTTGTAGTATGCGTGTGATGCGGTGCTATGTGATTGACAGTGAAGTGTAGTTCTGTATTGGGTTCGAGTTTGACATGTGAGCAATCTGGTACGATGGTGACAGTGTCGTGGAGAGACGTGGGCAGTAGGAACATCAAAATGACAAAACAATGCCATTCAATGGGAAAAGGAACATTCAGCGGCAGACGTAAGTGCTTGTTGGACTATAAGAGTGATGCATTGAATGCTACGGAGGATTTGGTTATATAGGCAATACGCTAGAGGTTGTGGCAGGCACCAATAACAACAAGAGACAGCTCTTTCTTCAGTGCCCACTCACCACTTCCGCACCCAATGTAAACACTACCACACATTCTGAAGTTGTGCAGACGTGAGTTCTTCAAATGTCTCACACGGGTATCCGATCCCCCACACTCTTTCCGTCCTCTCTCCATCTCTATAACCTCGAGATCCCGGTGAATCAGAAAGACTACCGCCATCCAGATGCACTAGAAATGACGAGCTGGCCATACCTAATGACAACGCTATTAGACCCACAACAATCCCGACCCTTGGCCTCGTAATCTGCACCCTTTCAGCACCTACGATGCTTCTCAGACTCCAACAGTTTATGCATGACAACATGATATTCACTCTCCCACCAATCCTCTACGCCCGTGGAACGGCTCTTGCTTGATCTTGGGAAGAAACATCACGCAGCAGCCCTCCGCTCAAAGAAGACTCGCCTAATCGATTGATACTGTCAGCAGCAGGCCCTGTAGAGGCGTTTGTACGCTTTCTTGTGGACGACATGTGGCTTAGTTATTGGTGTTTCATCAGCCACCAACTTCTTCTTTGCCGTCCCGACCATGACGAGCTCAATGTTCTCTACGCGCAGGCCGAGTTATTGGTATCGCTCGAAGCAAGGGCAGAGGCCAGCAGCCGGCTCTGCGATTGGCGCACACATGAAACAAGATTTCAATGCAAGAGCCATAAACGATGCCATTCAATCTCTTGCAGCTCCAGTTTCCTTGCAGCACGGCAAACATATCGCTATGCAGCTATCAAATGGAGGCAAAAATCTCTGGTCGACCTAACTGCTCTCCAGACTATTCCAGCTGATAGTAGAGAAGCTCGCTCACTAATCGCATCATGGCCCATACCTTCGTTTTTCTCCGCCACCTTAGCATTCGGGATGACCGATTGACCTTACTTTGCTGTCAATAGGATCCTTGACTGAACTCTCTTCATGTCACTCTCAACTTATACAGACGAGACTTATCCGCAATGGACTCGGAACCTTCCTCGGCGTTGCTTCGCCATCCGATTACCCTCGCACAAGCGTTACATACCGAGCATCCGCCAGTAGTCACGACAGAGGCAGATCGCATATCCCTTACACGACTAGCCAGTCATCACATCGCACGCCCGTGTGTTGATGCGCCGATAAAACTCTACTTTTGCACTCTCTTCCTAATCTACGAGTGACACTCCTCCTATAGGGCTCCTTTCATTACGACCTTGGCGCGTATTGTAGTGCATCGTCCACATCTACAGTGAAAACACCTCCTGCCTGCCTAGAGGGCCGCAGCGCATACCTTAAACCAAGTGCCTCAACCCGCTTGTCGAACGATACATCTTCATTTCCACAAATTTCCGCAAATGTGTCTGATAAAGTAGAATCGGCCAAATAAATGAGAGTAGAGGCGATGGAATCAGGCTTGATCGGCAAGACCGGCTCTATATAGAAGCATAGCATGATGGATGCAATCATCATGATTGCCAAAATGGCTACACTGGTCCAGTGGGAAACAATGTATGCCATGTAGAGCGTTCCGCTGTCGAAGGGTATCGTTGCGAGTGTTATCGGGAGTATCTCGGAAAGAAGAGCTACGATTGTTATAACAAAATATACCAAGTGGCGCGCAGAGACTGCAGTGGCGATACTGAGTACCGGATGTGACGGTGGACTAAGTAGTACAGACTCGCGGGCTGTGGCGTTTCCTTTTGCAAGCCTACTATAGGGAACAAGCAGTGCAATATCTTCGGCTGTATTAGTTCCATAACTATGCAGGAGGCAAAATCAGCTTACCTTGGAACACGAAACGCCAATAGAAACTAATAATGACACCGACTCCCGTAAGCAAGAACTGCACGCCAAAACCTTGTCCGCTCATGAAGTTTTCGAAGCCAGTGTCTCCACTTGTGTGGTGGTAAGTGAGAATGACTGCGGTCAGACCTATCAAGAGAAGAAGGAACGCGATAGATGAGAATCGGCGTCTCGCATTAACTGGAACAATGTGGCTTTCATTCTGTAGCGCAGGATATAGGGACTGTTGATTCTTTCGTGTCGAGTTTTGAAAGCCTTTCTGGATGCTCACGAGGCAAACGCGTGTCGAACCATCATTCCGAGTCTCTGAAACGAATTTGTACCTAGATCCTTCCAGTAATTGTTTCATCTGGTTTTCATGTGTTGCAGTGCTCAACGTCTTTAAGTTTGATCTAATTTCAGTGCCCCAGACAGCAGCGGCTAGCGCTGCTATGCTTCTCGGATTTGAAGAAGAGACCCACTTCTTGTGCCGCTGGAGGACCAGAACGATGATGGTGAAGATAGCCATAACGGCTAGAAGTGCTTGAATGATTCTCGCCCCAGGGACGAAAACTCTTATTCTCCCTGTGCAGCCCGCAGTAGTGTGGTCGCACTTTCCGATCGTCTGAATCCCTATAGTCTCGGGGGCAAGAGGAGTGATCAGCGCGCTCATAAAAGTGAGAATTACAGTTCATAACCGTGTCCATTGTCCACTTCCCATGGCCAAGAGTGGCGATATGGGGGAGATCATACTGATGGTCAGAGCTCGCTCGGCAGCAGCCCCGCCTGATGACGCGAGACAGTAGAAAGGTTCCATGGACGCGGTCTCACGGCTCAGGATAACCCATGGGACGTTGAACATTACGGATAGAAGCGTTGGAAGATAGGCTCCTTGGAAGTACTCCCATGTACTACGGATGTGGCCGTTTTGCTTCCGAAGATAGGAATTTGGTGCGGGCGACGTGCTATTGGGCATTGTAGTTGCGGTTGATGGATCGATTCTTAGATAGGCGCTACTAGCTGCTGTGAAGTTTGGAGGAGAAATTGTAGTTGCGGTTGTTGTCTCGATCCTTAGATAGGCGCTATCAGGTGGCGCGGATGTTTCAACGGGAATTGTAGTTACGGTTGATGTCTCGATCCTGAGATAGGCGCCATCAGGTGGTGCGGATGTTTCCACGGCAGTTTCGGTTGCAGTTGGTGTCTCGATCCTGAGATAGGCGCTACGATCCGCTGTGAATACTGGGCAAGAATCGCAGGACGTGAGTGTCGAGGTCTGAGGGATGGCGTCTTCGGAATCCGTCATGGGCAGATCAGGTGCCAAAGATAAATCCGACTCAGGAGCGCGGACAACAGGCTGAGTATCGATTTGTCTGTGTTTATTGGCCAGACGGGTTTCAACAACGGTAATAGTCTTGAAAATGTTGTAATCTTGCGTGGTAGTATAGACGTGCTGTATATCTGTAGGCCCCGGCGTTGTTTTGGCGCAAAGATAGGGTCATCGTTATTCGGAAGTGTGCGACAGGCGTACTCTACAAGCCCTATCAGTACCAAAGAAATAATGAATAGCGTTATCAGCAACGCAGGATGGAGGATCGCAGGACGGAAGGTATTCTGAGACTTCATGATGCGAATCAATGACACTGAACCTTTTACTGCCAGGTACAGTCGAAATTCAACAGTTACCAGAAATTGCAACTATCACTATGTCAATTCAGCCAGTCTATATACGCAACAGTCCAGACGGCATGATTTTTCAGGTAGGTTTGATGGTGAAGTCCTAGCGCATTCAGCCGCAGTAATAGATACAACGCCACCACTTTCGCCAAGTCCTTAACATAGTCCCTTAGGAGTGGCTTCTCAGTCGGTCCATGGAGTCAACCTGCACTGTCGTCAGAAAATATCAAGATTCGGATAGCCTGGTAGGTGGGCCGCGATCTGGCGACACGTGCAGCCATGCAATGCATAATGTTCAACTGAAATAATGGGTAGCAAATCGGGTGTTTCGATACACTCGGCAAGATCCGAGGCTGAGTGAGCTGAGATCATGGCTTCGCTTAACAGCTCTCTAGCACCTTGGCCCTGCGCCATTCTTTTCCGTTGATTGGATCCAGTTTGGAGAGGTGTGAATGAGAAAGCTCTTACCCAGACCAAGGGGCACAATTGGTTCGTATCCTTAGGTGACCCTACGCAGTAGCGAAAATCTCGTCCTACGTAATACCGAGTGAAGATATGCAAACCCCGCTATTGCCTGCGACTCAGTGAACACTCATTGGTGACTACATCATGTCTGACACTGATAAACCTTCTTATTTGTCGCATGCGTATGGCGTTCGCCATCCTAGAAAAGCCGGCTGCGACGTGCTACCACTCGAGCTCTGTGTTTCCTCATATATAAGGCGTACGCGTTGTTCTTACACGCCCAAGATAGATACATGTCATGGTGCTCGAGATTGGCTCTCGGCTTGGGGTGATCATTTGCTTGTGAGGTTAGTGGTTCTTATCTAGATTCACTCGTTGACTTGTTGCCGTAAGGCTGGGTCTTCATATCGTCCTCGTTGCGGCCGATGTTCTCTTCTTCAAGTCGAAATAGGCACGGAATTTGGAGTTGGACGACACCGGATCAGGAACGCCGAATAAGATCGAGATTTATGATTATTTCTACCCCAAGGGAAAAGATTGGCTTATAAGCCTGACCGAATTCCGCCAATGTCTCGCTCCTCTGGGTATTACACTCCAGGCATCGTCCTCATATGGGCCACCTTTTCGAATGCGGACGGAATCTACAGAGATGTCGACAGTGATTGCAGCACCAGACCTGACGCTGGTATCAGTGGTGTCGGCGTACGCGTGTCCATTTGGGCGCAAATTGGGATGTCGATATTGATCAGCATCATAGGGTTCTTCCACGAGTAAGATACTGGCATCAAAGACATCGGAGGTGGCCTTATCGTCACTCACTTCTCTCTTGCGATAGCACTGACTGTGCAACTATGCAAACTTACATTGACATCCGTTGATGCTGCCATTAGAGCAACCATTTTGGATGCTCAGAATATGGCTCTGCAAGTCCCTCTTACCGCCAAATAAACTCTCGCCGCTCGATGGCAGGTCGTTCTTCTTGTGCTAGCGCAGATCTTTGGACTGGCATTTCTACCAGTGCTTGTCGTCAAGCTGAATAGAGGGGACTTTGTGTCTGATGATTGCAAATGTCTATACGTTTTCTGGTGGTCTCGGCTCAGTGATTGTGGCGCCTTTCCTAGCGGCGAGCTCTCCATCTTTTGGATCAATTACTCAGTCAGATGGATGATGTGGATTCAGTCGTGTTTCCATGCTATGTACAACGCCCAATGGTTTCACATGACTGAAAAGAATGGACGCATTCCGATCACAAATCTGGAAGGAATCAAAAAAACTCCGAAAAGATGCAAAATCACTAGTAACTACAGGCATTCAACAACGAATCTTACTCGACAGAGATCTTGTTCGTAGCAGCCGTATTTGCGAGAGTCATAGAATGACATTGTCTACATAATGATTCGTTGCCGCTGCGACCAAACCACCCTCCCCCAAAGTTTTTACATGAAGAGAAATACGTGACTGCGGAGAGACCGCGTTAGAGATTATCGTAAAAATCATACAAATGCACACCGAAGTGACCTGAGCGGTGCCAAGAAGCTCTGCTTACTCAAAGTGTGTATCCCATAGATGCTTCATGAGGTCATACCCATCTCCACCAAATGAATCGTGATTGCATAAATCACACTGCCAACGACAACCTTCAATGCGATAGTCGTGCATGTGAGATGCGAAATGGGCGCGAAACTTCTTGAAGGAAGTCCAGTACTTCCTCTTGCTCAGCTCCGCAGGTTTGCACTCCCAGCAATTACCTGGACAACCTCGCCGATGCTTCTTTGTGGGCCTCGTTTTATCTGTAGGCTCCGGTACAGCTGTGGGCCCCGGCACAGCTGTGGGCTTTGGTGCGTGCGTGGACTTTGGTGGGCATGGAGACTTTGGTGCGTCCATAGACCCTGGCACTTTGTCTTCCATAGATGCCGTTCGCGCGCGTTTGAAACCTTGTGAAGGAGACTCCGGCTTCTCGTCGAAGTCTCCGGATGGTTCGCGCTTGAGCTTCATGGGTGTAGGTATAGCCGCCGGTACGGGTACGATCGGGGGTATGGATACGGTCTGAGGTATAGACATGATCAGAGATACAGGCACGGTCGGGGATGCAAGTGCGGAAGAGATGAGACGGACGTCTAGCTTGAGTTAGCTTGGCAAGGCAATTCAGCGACAACTACCCACCGACCGTACGAATCCTTTCTAGTGGCTCTTCCGTTTGGGTGCCGGCGTGCTTCACTAGTGTCGAAGGATCCTGAGTGATGTCCGAAACAAGTGTTGAGGTGTCAGACTCATAAGCGGGGGGTCCATCTTCCAGGAAGGGGAGGAAGTCGTCATCTTGGATGCCGATACGGTCATATAAAGTAGGAGAGGGCGCACGTGAGGAGATACGTTCACCGGACATTAGTACAATTGTTCCTGGAGAATGTTGGAAGGTTTCCGAGGAAGGACGGGCGACAGGGAGTCTGGTAACGAACGTGAGGGTAGTGCAAAGAGTGATGGGGGGACCGCGTGCGGGTGAAAGTATTGACAATAGCGAGTGAGATGTCAAGTCGACGAGCCAGCGACGGAAAAGTCAAAGAATGAATGGAAAGATCGCATCACATCCCAAAGATAGCGGGAGATGTGGAATGCGCCGGCACCTGGGAGTGGCCATTGGCACCGTGGACATTATATGTGAATATTGGTCGTGAGTTTTTTTCTATTAATGTCGGTTTTGCGAGCACGCGTTACACCCGCGGCGCCGGGCAGACGTTTCAGGGAATGGCGCTGCTTGGACCCTCTAGGGCTAGATCACAACGTAAAAGCCCCAAGCGCTGTTAACGGTCCCATGGAAGATGGGCGAAATGCCGGTTATCATCGAAAACACGATGCCTGTGCTGCGTGGATACGAGTCGCACGAACCTAATTCGAAAGATCGTCGGAGACCCGTGCCGCGGCCGGCCGGTTCACCGTCCAATTGGTCGATCTCCCAACAATGTGCCCAGTAATCCACGTGCACGCGAGACCCATGTCAGCTCAACTGACATGCTGGCGCGGCCATCTCGAAGCTTTTCTGCAAGGGCAGAGCGCGCGGGGCTGGGCAAGGCGGGGATCCCACCTCCAGAAGCCTAGACTCATGCTCGTAGTCAGTAGTGACGCCCACTTACCCCATCGCCTGCGAAGCTTTCATGTGTCAGCAACACGACTGCCAACGTACGACGAATTTGTCGCCGGCATCCAGACATTCCGATGAAACGGCAAGGCTGTCAATGTGGGAAAGTTTTCCGAGAGTCTTCCGAGGCGGCCACGGCTGCAATTATCACAACGGCAGTCATGTGTAAAGCCTATTGCATCTTGAATAGGTCTCCTTGTCATCAATTATTGACACCGCCGCCACTCCACCAACACATACACCTCCTGAGGCCGAGGTGAGCTGTATCGCATTTGACTTTGGAACGGGCTTGGCCCAATGGCGACAAGTGGATATGCATCACGATAAGGGGTCATTGCGCCTTTCCGTCAACCTTCTGCCAACCTTCCAGAAGAAACGCCACTAACCAGGGATCCCAAGGAAGAGAACAGCTCGTTCAGCCCCTCCAGGAAGTGACCTTTGCATATGGAACGGTGTCATTGGTAAGATCTGGGCTCAGTCACTTGGTCGGAACGACTCGCAATGACCATCGCAATCTAACTAACCCACCTTTCGTTCGCCTACTCGTTAGTCTTGCCAGACGTCTTTGTTGGCTGTGCATCCTCGCGGAAACTTAGTCACTCCCGACTCACTGCCACATAGTACCAAATCCCACACATTAGCACTTTCGTGGACAGTTCATTTCGGCGCTTCTCTGCAGACCGAGAGGCCTCGCATAAGCGAGCAACGTCTGCAGTGACGGCTATCATGATGTCAGGAAAAAGTGCATCGCTCGCTATGCCACATCGGCGACTTATCGATAAGTCGCCTGGGCAATCGGCGATACTAGGTGATGAGGTGCCTAACTGCTGCGAACATCACTCATTAGGCGCGACGGGTCTTTCGGGCTGTTCTGAAATAAACACCCTAGCTCCCTTTGGGAATCATTAGCTGACACGGTAAACACACTGAACGAATCAAGACTTGGACGTTGAACAGTGGCTGGTAGCCTCGACAACGCGAGGCGGAGTCTATCTGCTATTGAGACGTCCGACACTATTAGTCACGTGCTTACACCGCCGGCATCCCCATGTACTGCTGTTGGACTTGGCCCTCAATTGCCTTTCGTCGTAACTCGAGTGTGCGCAGATTCCGGGTACAAGCTACCTGCTACGGTACATGAGATGAGACGAGGTCCGCCAAGCCTGCGCATGTGACGGGCCGTGACGTCAGGTATGTAACACCAGTCCTACACCACTCTCAGAGGATTCGCATCACAACTTCGAACGTACCGCTGTTAAGGAGACCTCAAAGTAGAGTCATAGGTCATGTGATCTAGAAGGTTGCGCTGTATACAGAAGACGACGGCGATAGTGGTACCTAGGTGTCTACTGGTCCTGGGGTGTCTCACGGACAGGTTTGTAGCCTGCGACGCTTCCTGTTCGAGCTGTTCAATATCGGCAGCATTAAAATGTAGGATCGGCAAAAGATCGCTTTTGTCTATGTAGTCTGTCTAAGACGTTTGAAAGAAACAAAATTGGTGGAAAGAATGGAGAAAAGACTTCCAAGGAGCCATACATTAGGCGTAATACGTGGGCACAGATGAATCGTGAGGAGAGACGCATAAAGAACAGTACAAAAGAAGGAATGGGATGGTGGTGGTGATTGTGGAGTAAGTCGAGACGTCGAGCTGCGCTAGGAAGAAAATCCCCGAAAGGCTAGGGAAGCGACGGACGAAGCGGTTAGGGACCGGACGGCGTAGCGGATAGCGGCCCACCAGCGTCCAAGTCTCCGATACTAGGATTGTAGAACCCCATAGTGTGGGGGGCAGTCTCGCTGGCGTGGCCTGGTTGAGTGCTTGAAGGCTCTCCGGCTTCATCTTCCGTTGCTACTGCGGCACACTGGGCCCGATTCGACCCTTCCTTGACGGTCATATGTTCTCCCCAAATGTGATCCCCAAGAATTGATCCTTGTAGTGGGTACTCCTTGCCGGCAAAGTCGGTGCCCTTGCAGAGGAGACATTTGAGTATGCCGCCGTCTTTGTAATCCTTAAGGTGGACCAACAGAAAATGCTTGATGTACTCGGGCTTGTTCTTCCAGACCGAGGTCTGTCTCACAGTACAGGTGTTTTTTCCACCCGGGCAACCCATCACGCGAACGGTTGATGACTTCGTCGAGGCGGGGGGAGTAAAGAAGTTGCTCTCTAGAGCTTTGCGCGAACGTTTGGAAGGAGGGTTCGGCTCATCGTCAGGCGATCCGCGCTTGAGAGTCATGGACGCCTCTGCCACTAAATGATATCAGCGAAGCAACGTAGGTTGGAGTCGTGTCTACTGACCTATATCTCGAACCTCTGCTTTGAGTACTTCCGTTTGAATCTCGAGCATGGTATCAAGCTCATGATGGATGCCAGCATCCTTCGCCTCCTTGTGAGTCTGGACTGACGCAAGGAACTCTTCGCCACTAATACCGGCGTGCAATATGCGCCGAATAATCCCGCGGCGCACCGCGCTGAGATAAGTCTCCGCAGGCCGTAGGGCCGGAGTGAAAGGCGAAGCCAGGGAGGAGGGCGTCTCGATATAAGAGGGCGAGGCCAGGAAGGAAGGAGTGGCCATGTGAGAGGGCGTGAACAAGTGAAGAGGGGAAGCCGTGTAGGAAGGCGAAGCATGGGTTCCGCCCAGGGAGAGTCCCGTAGGAAAGCCTGGGGTCTGCATGGGCATGCCTCGTTCTGTGCCGCTGTAAGTCCCGACGGCCTGTCCAGCCAGGGCAACAGGAGGGGCTTGCAGCCCAGGGAAGGGAAGGTCCATAGGCGGGCCTTGGTCGCCAGGTTGTTGGAGAAAGCCAGCATGAGGCATGCAATAGTCGGGATGACCAGGACGATTGTCGTCATATCGAGAGTGGGATGAGTCGATCGCGCTCGACAAAGGCGAGTGGAAGGTAAGGCCAGATGGACGCATCGTAGCGACGGCGTTTAGAAGATATTAGTAGGTTGTACAGGTGTAGGAGAAGTAGGGAGACGTAAAGATAATTATAAGAGTGCTTGTGAAGAAGGTATGGTAAACGAGCGGTAGGATGACTGTCAGCAGCTGTGTGTATAAAAGATAGAGAGCAAGCTGCCGGACATTGCGACAAAACGGCCGCCTTGTTAAATAAAGACCGATTAGCCATGATGTCCCTTTGCTGCATGGTAGACTCAGGAACGGCGCCCGAGCGGCCGTGCCGCAGGGTTATTTTCGTGGACTAGACCTATGTGGATACCGACACGCCCTAGCAGGTCCGACTATCTTTCGACAGAATCCTACATTCTGGAGAGTCGAGTGATGGGTCGATACTGTGTCATCACAACATCTGCCCTTTTTGTTCGAACGGTAGCTTTTTGGCAAGTCGAGCTTCATCTTCAACGATAGCCTCTCCCGTGTCAACCCTGCCTTTGCAGTTGTAGAGAAAAAGAACGTGAGAAAAATGCGGGAACAAGAATGGTACCTGGGTATACCCGTTTGGGACAGTGTGAGAGAGTTTGAATGCGGTGCGCAAAGTGACGTCGCGCTAGAACTTGGCCAAGGCCACATGCAAGCTGGATCTGGATCTGCCAAGCGAGCCGGATCAGACTGGGACTTGGACTATGAGGCGCCTTGTGGAGCACATCATGAAGCTAGCCTTGTTCAAGGTTAGTGGGCGGCGCAGATTCCTAGCCCTTTTCAAGGTTAGTGGGCGGCGCAGATCCCTTGCCATGTGCGCTTCGTGATTTCATAGGGATTTGCATCTGCAGATGTGGTGTTTCACGGCTTTTCGCTTAGATCAAGGCCCAGTAGCTGGCCGTCAGATCTGACTTGAATATGGTCCGATCGTTCTTTCCAAGCTGATTTGGTGTATGTGACACGTCTAGTCGTATATACCTTCCATACTCCGACCATGTCGACAATGCGACTTTGACTGCGCGACAAGTTTATCGTATGTAATCCAGGCATTGCCATAACGGCGCAACCATGTCAGATGAGCCAAATCAACAACGTTGTTGATTGTGGTCACGGCTGCTTCCAGCACACCAGCATCTGGGTATATGTAGTCCACTGCTTCTCGACCAGGGCATTCTGCTATCATCAATATCCCAAACTACTACTCAATATCCACTTCCTCTCTATGCCACGCACACTCCAATAGCGCGTCATGAATTGCACGATGCTTCACCACCTCGGGTGTGTGATCTCTCCGGAGACGATTCGCTTTTCAGTAACCGCCAATTGCAGCGCCACTGCAACCGACTGGCCTACTGGAGATACGTGGACAAACATCGCGATGGGCACCGTGTCGGTGACAGTAGCCATTTTGCAGCTTGTACTTGGGAACAGGATTGCAAACGTCGTCAACCGCATGTGGACGCACTTTGCTGTATGTTGAGGTACGCTTAAGCTGACCCTACGTTAGGCCTCCATGTTGGACACGCAAACGAGGGGATTGAACTAGTCGAGGATGATGAAGTGTAAGGGTCCATTGTGACGCTCGACGGACGCTGAGGTCGTTACAGCGGACTCGGGGATAAGCTTTTCTTCGTGCTGCGCCACGGAGAGACGGCAAAGTGTGTAATCAAGGATCCTTCGGGACAAAATACAAAGACGCTTAACAGGGCCCGTGGAATAATGCATGCGCTGGCGATTGGCTACGTGAAATTGCTGTCTGGCAGTGCAAACACGACAATGCTCCTGGATTAGTGGCCTAGGAAGAGACACCCCGGCCGGAATCGACCTGAGAGGATCCATGCGTCATCTGTTAAGCCTGAACTGGTGAAGTCTGCCCCTCTTGTTCCTGTCAGAACCCGGCAGACTTCCTTGTTCCTCGTTTACGGAGCCGTAGCATGGACAATGAAAGATTTCTTGCTGTTCAGCATACCCAAGTATTGTTCACAGCCGCGTGGTATTTGTCCATCGCCGCACCCGACCAGCAGACCGGATTGAAGCCGCCTTTGAGCATAGAAAACACGTGTTCCACGACCGTTCATGTCGCGTGCTTTTGCCGCTGTTCCGACGACCAGGCTAACGGATCTGCAGACCTGGTTTTACGATCGGCGCCCTGCGTACATCGACCAGGGGTAAGGCCGTTGCGTGGAAAAGCATCACGCTGAAACATGCAAATGTGTACCGCACTTCGGAACCTCCGCTGGCCGTTCGTCATAAGCTACCTGGCCCCGCTCCAATCATGTCCCATCGATCTCAACAAATTCAGCAACCGGCTCTCCGCCGCTCCAAAGCTCTGGCACACGTTGGCAAGTATCGATGTGGAGATCAGCGACGCCATGGATGCGATGGGTGGCTGCTTTGGTATCCGGAATTTTTAATCTTTCCCTGTAGCTCGTAGCTTGTTCGTTGAACCAGACTGTCCCGTCAATCAGAACGTCGCTCGTGCATCCTGTCGCACTCTCACTCGACAACTGAGCAGCTATATTCCAATGTGAGGGCACGCTCATTGCGCGCCCAAGGACGAAAGCTTCGTTATCGATACTCTTGCAATGATGTGTACTGGCGGAAGTGCCATACCACCCCTATGTTAGCCTTTGTGAGCGCAATCAGAGCGCCGAGACCGAATCAGGCAAATGGAGTAACACGATTTTGTGCACAACACAACGCACTCACTATACCGTACATTGCTTTGCATAACGCGTTGCTAAACTCTATTGACCCGAGACGGGAATAGACATGGGCGCGCGCCACAGAAACACCGCAACACGTGTTTGTAAGGGAAGATAGAGCACCTCCTTTGAGTTGAGCCTAGTGTGGGCGCTCTATTTTTCCCTACAACGACGTGGCACGGGAGTGGCAGGTTCCAGACTTGAGATGGGCAGCTGAGCCCGTGGGCGCCGAGGACAAGGCGTAGCGCGTCTTCCAACGGCCTCCCACCGACTCATACGAGAAGAACAGTGCTCGGTGACGCAACGACTTCGGGACGAAGCAGCTCATCCGATCATGCTCTAAGCGTCTGTTGCATCTGCTAGGATGCTTATCTGACTTTTGTTCGCCTAGTCTCTAGCTTGGTGAAGCGTTGCGTTGCACTCGACCTTGCGTAGAAAAGTTTCTATTGGCCTTCGACGACGAGCTCATCTCGGAGAATCTCCGCAGGCCGCGCAGCCAGAAAAAAAGCAATGCTGTTTCTTCTGGTGTTGTATGAAACGCTTGCCTGGCATGTTGGGTGGGGCTTGCGAGCTATCGATTAACTAATCAGCAAGGGTAGGCGACCGGACCTTACTCCAGCGTCCCATCTCAGGCGACTGGTCTGTCTGCCGGTTAGCTCTTAGGCAGCCTCTTCCGCCAACAGCATCGCGAACCCAAATAGCCGTCTGCTCGCGTTTCTCAGTGAAGGCATCCTGCAACGGATCTGACCTTTGTACTGCCAATTCTAAACGTCGCCGTCAGAGCTGGTTTTCGCCAGTAGCTCCTCGCCGATTGCTTCCCCACCTGGACAAGGTCGCCGGTTGCTCTGCGCGTCACCGCTAACCCCGCCCCCCTTTTCGGGCCCCGGCTTCTTGCTTAGTTTCCTCATCACCTCCGCATCAACGGCCAACACATCATCGCAACCCACATCTATCAGGTTGCCTCCGCAAACGGTCTCCATCACCTCACGTCGATCAGAGTCGATGGATCCCTTGTCAGAAGACCATCTTCACTTTTGGTAGCAGTGTTCGTTAGGCTTGGACCATGTAGCGGCGGCGAAACCCGACTCACGGGTACTCTCGGCACTATCGTAGTCAGTCGACGAAGCTTCCCAATATCTGGGGCCGGGTGGATCGGGCCGCTGCAGCGTGTCGAATGTTAATCGGACGACACAGACCCATTGTTCGACCCGAAGGCTGTTGGTGTATATAGACGCGCGAGGAAGGCAAGGGCGATCCGTTTGGGAGGAAGAGTCTGATTCATTGACTAAATGTACAGCGAAGATAATGTAGAATGTAGAAATGAACATATGTACTTGTGTAGTTTACTCGTCGTTTTTCGGTTTAATCACCCTCTCCGTATGCTTAATCTCAAGACAAAAGAAATTTGGCGTATACAAAGAGCGTTGTTACGAAATCAGACCGCCTACTTCGTGCAAAACCTATACCCAGCCGCCGGAATCGCCGCCTTGACCGAAAAATCGTCTACCGCAAAGATATTACCACTCTTACCCTTGGTGTTTACCTCCAGCAAAACAGTATGCGATGCAGCATTGCTGACTATGACCGAACCCGTCATGAGTATCCAACCATTCTTGTTTACATTGCTAGCGGTGAAAGTCTGAACGCTCGTACCGTCGAACTTCAAGTTGAACGACAAAGAGTTGCCCGTGTTGATCCCGTCACGCATTGGCTTGACATATGTAGACACGGTAACGGTAGTCCCAGCGGGTAGATCCTTGATATTGGCCTGTGTGAGTTTGAGGGTAGATGTGCTGCTGCTAGATGCGGTGCCACGGAAGACTCTGCCGCTGGAGCGACTATTGTCGTTTATTACAGAGTAGTCAAATCCAGTGTCAGTCGATGTCCAAGGCGTGATGGTGTTGATGGGATTTGCCTCGAAGCCAGGATTGATGAGGTATTCGGATTTAGCGGTGTAGCATGGAAGAAGTGATGTAGAAGTGGATGTCGAGGTGAATGAGGATGTGCGAGTCACGAGAGTTGTCGGAGTGGGTGTAACGGGAGCAGGTGTGGAGCTCGAGGCTAGAGACGGCGTGCTAGTCGAGGAAGCTGAAGAGCTCACCGTCACTCCGGGAGTGCTAGAGACAATCTCGGAAGAGCTAGACACTGTCTCCAGAGTGCTAGAAGCGACATCTGTAGAACTGGAAGGAGATTCAACCACAGCCGACGAAGCGGTCGAGGTCACCTCTGGTGTAGCAGATACGCCATCGGATGAGCTAGGCGTAGCCTCAGAAGTGCTCGACAAAACCTCAGAAGATGTCGCTACTGGTGTAGAAATGGGAGTGGTCTCAGGCG